CGACCGCCCGAAAACAAGAGGTTTTTCCTCTTTTCTGCTGGCAAGTTAGTTCAGAGCCAGGCCAGCTCCTCGGTCGGGTTCACCACAGGATTGCTGTGCCCAGCGTGAGAGTAGTGCTGGAAATGGAAGGTTGGGCAGAGCTGGTCTTTTATGCAAAACCGCTGGTATAGACTGAGTTCAACTGAGCTCCATCTGTTGGAGTGGGTCCATGGGAGACCGTGAGCATGCTGCGGGGGCTGGAGCAGCTCTGCTCTGGAGCCAGGCTGAGAGAGCTGGGCTGGGGCAGCCTGGAGAAGAGAAGGCTCCTGAAGGGGAGACCTTAGAGCAGCTCCAGTGCCTAAAGGGGCTGCAGGAAACCTGGAGAGGGGCTTGGGACAAGGGCCTGTAGGGACAGGCCAAGGGGAATGGCTTGAACCTGCCCAAGGGGAGACTGAGATTAGACCTTAAGAAGTTCTTCACTATGAGAGTGGTGGGACAATGGCACAGGGTGCCCAGAGAAGCTGTGGCTGCCCCATCCCTGGCAGTGTTCAAGGCCAGGTTGGACACAGGGGCTTGGAGCAAGCTGCTCTAGTGGAAGGTGTCCCTGCCTGTGGCAGGGGTTGGGACTGGATGCGGTCCCTTCCACCCTAAACCATTCTGTGATCAGTTGGTATCAGGGCTGAGGGGGTATCTTTGTGCTCCAGGAGCAAAATGCTTGGGGCAAACCATGTCTGTGTCATCACTCAGGTGAAACCCAGCTCCCAGCGTACCCCTCAATTAAAAACCATCGTGTGCGTAAGAGCAGAGACAGAGCACAGCTCACGGTGGTTATTAATGGTCTGTGTTCCTCCGAGGTTTCCTTGGTGAAGCAGTGTTGTTGTCTGTGGGAGGTCATTCTCTTTGCTGGAGACGTGCCACGGCTCGTGTGTCCCCTCGCTGGGAAGGGAAGGTCACAAGATGTCCCTGTGCAGGGCAGATGGAGTTCACAGCCGAGCCCTCTGCATGTGTGTGTGTGTGTGTGTGTGTGTCACAGCCCATCGCTTGCACTGGAAGTTTCCATGCAGGTTAAGTTTAGATGCTGCAGTGCCTCCAGCACCACCCACCGCAGAGGTCTCTGACCTCATTCTGCAGAAGCTGGGTGGGGGGTGAGGGATCTGCTGTTTAATCAGGTATGGTGTTATCAGTCAAAAAACCCCAAATACTTTACCACCTCTCTTTGGCGTTCACCGTAAACTTTCGCTTTCCCTGTAGCACCACCTCATGAGCAAACACTTAATCCCCTGGTAGCATCCCCAGATGAATGGTATCTCGTTGGCCTTTCTGGATGGTGAAGATCATCGTGGGGCATCTCTGGACCTTAGTGGCTGAAATCTCTGCGATGGGGACAACCCGAACCCGAAGCCGGTGTGAGCCGCTCGCGTTGGAAGCAGTTCAGGATTGTACATGGTCGGGTGGTTTCTTTTCCTCCTTGCACAGGGACCGTGTCAGTCTCTTCCCATGTTAGCAGATAATGGATTAGAGAATTACTCCAATGGATTAGGGAATGATTTCAAAGGTAATCATTTCTTTAAGGTGGGGAATCAGTGTTTCTTTCAGCAGTTGTACACAGATTGATAAAGACAGGATTTACTAGCTGTTGTATCCCCTTTGAGGTGCAGACCAGCTAATACTGCCCGAGTTTGTAACGCCAGCTATTGCTTTTGAAATCCTGTTCCCAGAATCCCGGTGAGTGGGGCCGGTTTTCTGTTCCCATTGTGTTGGTGGTGTTTTTGTGGCTGTTCTTTGGCCTCATGCCCCATATTTACATTAGGATTTAAATTCTTTGAAAGTATCACTTTAATTTCTCTGTGTCTGAGTTGCTGGGTGTTACTTTTGAAAGCTCTCCATCCCCTTGTAAGAGGTGTGCTTGGAAACATCCCTTCATATCCTCCTGTTTGCATAGACACCTATGGAAAAGGCATTTCTGCCAGGTTGAGGCTAGTTCTTTATTAGACGGGGCCATCCCAGGAGCAGACCCAGCTTGTTGGCTGGATTCCACCTCTTTCGGTTGGATTCAGACGAAGCCAGCAAGGTGTGGTACCACACAGCGAGAAGCACTCAGAAGAGGAAGCTGAACCCTTGCCAAAGCCAGGGCACTTCTTCCTTTTGTTCATACGTTGTGTTTGAGCCCGTCTCTTACCGTATCTGCTGCTCGCTCCACGTGTGGCACGTCACTGGGTTCAGTAGAGCTGGTTGAGTGGAGCTTGCACAGGGCGATGGAGCGGTGGTGTGATGGTGACTCTCCTCCTCCAGTACGTACTGTTCCCAACCTCCTCGACAGGGTTTCTTCACTTTAATAAGTTCAGGTTAGTCAGGTTTAACCCTGTCTGCTGTGCTCCTGTGCAGAAGTTGGTGAAATAGCCCTGAATGCCATGGGCATCCTCCATCCGGCCATACTCCAGGCATTACTCAGTGTGTTTGTCTGCCCCGGTTTTGTTTGCTTTTAATAACCTGAAGGTGTAAGGCAGCAGCTGTTCAAGTGAGTGGCTGCTCTCAAACCGACTTCAGAGGGAGCAGGATTAGATGTCTGTTAAAAATAACAACGTTGTGTTTTGCTTGGATGATTGTCCCGTGTTTTGGAATTGATGAAAGCTTCGTGCGAACGCGGAATCCAGCCTGTTCTTTTAAGGCTGTCGTCACACGATGGAGTTGCAACTGTCTTGTTCTCCTTTTGTGCCCTGTTGTGTTCTTCTCATCTGGTTAAAAATAGCCCAAGAGGAATCACTCTTCACTGAACGCTTCCTCTTTCAAACTACTGGTTTTTATAGTTGAAGATCATGTGTAAGCATGCAAAGCAGGAGCGGTGGTTTTGCTGTGACAGTGTACAGTGATCCTGTGGATCACGACGTCCTGCCAGGATTCTGGCAAGAGGATTTACAAAGCAATGGCTGTGGTTAACTATGGGGTTCCTTATGGGAACCCCACAACTCTTCTAAATCAGATGGTTAAACAGTTTGATTGGGAATTGCAATAGGATAGGAAAGTGTAGGATGTGATTTGAACAGAAGCATCACTGATTTTCTCCATGTCTGGTGTATTTTTGCAGTTACAGAGTTCTCTCTAAGCTTTAGGTCTGCTGTTATTTGTGCTGCTTTAACATGAGAGACTTGGTTATGCAACCGCTTTTGATTCAGAATGCAAAAGCCAGATGCAGATTTTGTGCTTGGCTTCTGTCTGCAGGGAGCTGACCTAGACAAAGGTATTCAATCTCTGTGCTCCATTTCATTTTGAAGAGGTTTGATGTTTGACCACTGCTTGGGCATTCTGGCTGGGTCCATGTGGTTGCCAGTGGCTAATACAACATGGGAATGGAAGCCAGAGTGTCCATGGGAACCAATTGCCATGATCATCATAGACTGGTTTGGGTTGGAAGGGACCTTAAAGCTCATCCAGTTCCAACCTTCCACTATATCAGGTTGCTCCAAGCCCCTGTGTCCAGCCTGGCCTTGAACACTGCCAGGGATGGGGCTCTGATATGGATTAGACCCAGCCAAGCTGATTGGAGCAAAGCAGTGTTTAGATCCTGACCAGCCCTTCCGCAAGGCATGGTCCAGGGAGCACACTTGTCTGTCTTTACTCTCTAAGCCGGGCTGGATCAAGAGGTGGTTGTGCTGCTGAGGCTGCCAAATGTTTCTGTTCCAGACCCGTTTCCTGAGGATCCTCTTTTATTAAGCGAAAGGTGACTTGATTTCTTTTTGCAGTAGAGACCAGGAGAACCTGAGCTATTCAGAGCTGAAAATGCCAGTGGAAAGTGTTCTGGGCCCAGTGCCCTTCGTGTTGCACACTTTCAAAAGGTAAAAGGAGGAAATCCTTCAAGTGGGCACTGTGGAATCCCACTCGTGGCAGGGTGGAGACCAAGCCTGTGATAAACGCTAAAGGTCAGAGCAGGGCAATGTAATCAGTACAGTGGGATCCCCACACTTCTTATCACAGGCACGTTTAATCTCCTCTTCTTGTAAGAGGTCTCTGAAAGGGCAGGGGAGGAGCGAGCTCGAGCAGTTGTCATCTGGTGACTTGGCACACGCTCACTTAGGTAATTGCGGGGAGCATCTCGCTGTGCTTGAACTGGGAGAGACGCTTGAAATGATTTTAATTATCAGTGCTTCCACTTAAATGAAATTAAATCAGTTTCTCATCTTGCCAGCACCCAATATCAACGTCATAGTTTAATGTCAGACCTTAAGGAAAGCATCGTGTTCCAAGAGGATGCTTTTCCCAGAACGGAGCCAGGGGTACATGAAATGCTCAATATAACACACCAGGTCCAATGTCTTGAGATTAAAATTAGGTGGAAGAGTGAACAAAACTGCAGTGCTGAGCTTGGGTTATGCATTACTGTGGTTTACACAGTATAGCTAAGGGAATGGATTCTTCCCAGCAAGGGTTTGCTTGTTGTATTAGCAAATTGCATCATAACGATGGCACTGATCACTCTTCTCAAAGGTACAGAAGGGACACAGATGTTGATGGTTCGGGGAGATGGTTTGTGTTGTTTCAGCTTCGTTCTTGCCCCAAGAACTGTCTTTCTGGTTATTTTTCCATCTCAATCTCTAGAGGAAAGCAGTGATATTACTATTTGTTCTGCTGTGGTAAACTCTCACCTATGTCCCAGAGCTTCTTCATGGTGAAATATTTCTCTCTGGGAGCAGCATTCATTTGGTCAATTTTATCATGCACAAACAGGAGAGAAACATGTTCCGGGAATGACTTTCAAACTACAGATACATGAAACTGGTCTGGCAGGCAAGGTGAGGAAACCATAGGCAAGAAACAGCTGGAGAACTAGGACAGTTCAGCCTCGACTGATGAAGTGTTAAAGGCTTCTGGTTCTGTTGTATAGAAGGAGTTTATTCCTGCAGCCCCTACAGAGCTAGCAGGGACTATGGGCAGCTTTTGCCATCTCTTTGATGGGGGGTTTGTTAACGAATCACTGCAGGGTTTGGTGTCTAACCCTCAGCCTTGTCTCTCCTCCTGCTGCTCAGTGCCTGAAGAACAGCTCCACAACATCGACGAGTACGACCTCAACGTGGTCCGCCTCTGCTTCCAAGCTTTCCTCCCTGATGAACACGGCAACTACACCTTAGCTCTTCCCCCTTTGATTTCCAACCCCATCTATGACAACAGTAAGTACCAACCCAGCCATACCTGGGTTTATCTTCCCCTCCTTTTTGTTGTTCTCTTTCACTTGGGATGGAAAATGCCAGCCCAGTTTCTGAGGTCCGTGCCAGTCCTCCTGGTCACTTCTGTGGCTCGGCACTGCTGGATGCATGGTGTCTAACACACGGCAGGTCAGTGACCATGTGCTCAAAAGATGATCTGAGGGTGAAGAGGAAGAGCTGTCTGTTGAAAATAGGTGGTAGTGAGGTGATGGCTGCCGTAAGACTGATCTGCTGTCACAGGACGTCCTCTAAACCCTGTTTGTACCCATGAGGAGTCTTGTCTTTGCCCTGTGAGAGCTCTGGAACAGGACTGGAGGGATTTATCCCAGTGGGAAACTGTCTCAGAGCTTTTATATATCCCCTTTGTTGCTATTTGAGTGTAGAGGAGGGAACAGGGGAGTGTTTGATCATGCCCTGGGAGGGTGCAGAAGTATGTGAAACACCCCTTCTTGGCACAGTTTTGCATTCCACAAAACTGGACTTGTATATAGAACCATGGAAGGCTGGAAAAGAGCCTTAAGATCAAGTCCAACCGTTAACTCCAGGACTGCGTTAGTCCAAATACTGCCTCAGAAGGAGCAGGTCACTGCAGTCAAGGGTTTTAGCCCTCAGCGTGTGCTGGACTTCTGTCCTGGAGCAGAACAGCAGAGGAGCTTTTAACCCTTAAACTTCCTGGTGGTGGTTTCTCTTTCTGCAGCAGAAGTATTTCCATGCTAAACACTTCAGGTCATGAATGCAGCAGAAGCTGCTGAATAAATGGATTTCTGCATTTCATAAGGTTACTGTTAGAATTGTGCTGATGTGGGCATATCCGCTATGATAATGTTAAATCCCAGAGTGGTTTGGGTTGGAAGGGACCTTAAAGCTCACCCAGCTCCAACCCCTGCCACAGGCAGGGACACCTTCCACTAGAGCAGCTTGCTCCAAGCCCCTGTGTCCAACCTGGCCTTGGACACTGCCAGGGATGGGGCAGCCACAGCTTCTCTGGGCACCCTGTGCCATTGTCCCACCACTCTCATAGTGAAGGACTTCTTAGTGTCTAACCTCAGTGTCCCCTCTGTCAGGTTAAAGCCATTCCCCCTTGTCCTGTCCCTACAGGCCCTTGTGAAAGCAGGAATAGGAACTCAGGTGGGTTTCAGAGTCTCTTCTGGAAGCTGGCACCCCGTGCACTGTGTTAGTGAGAGCCTTTGTAGGGCTGATAGGGCTTGAGATAAAAGTGATGCACAAGATTTGCAGCTCGGTCTCAGCTGCCATTTAGAAATGTGCCAGATCATGATTACTCGTCAACATTGCTTGACGTCAGTGCTTGCTGAGCTGCTGCAGTGACGGGTAGCTGCGTGGTGGGGAAGCTTGGCTCTTCAGTGTGGGTGTGTGTGGGCAGCCTCTGATACGCTCCATGTATGTAAAGTCCTCTGTGTAATGTAGCAGTGGTGTACATAAAGCTGCATAACTGCAACCACAACTCATACAAATCGTGCAGCTCGTGCCTGGAGCAGTTTCAGATCGGAGTTGCTTTTACAAAGGCTCCCTTTTAAGCCTGCTCTGTTGTATGGAGCTGGATACGGTCAGGTTATGGCTTTAGGTAACAGACACAACGACGGTATGAGGGGCTTGCAAGTCCGAGGTGGTTAAATCGTGAGCTTCTGCTGATCTGTTCACATTGGGAGCAAAACGGTGTTCAGAGGTTGCCTGAAAATCAGCTCACACACTTCAGTGTTCTCTTTACTTTCTTATGCGCTGGGGTCTCAACCTGCTTTGGATAGCAGAGATATAGACAAGAGTAATGCAAGCAGAGAGGCAACCACGTTAGCAGAGGCAGCACGTGTGTCATTCCAGGCAGCTTGGTTTCAGTTGCTGATGGTATTAACTGGCTTTGAACAGAAACATCCCAAGTTGTGTCTTTTAGCACACTGAAATCTCTTGGGCAGTCAGATGAAGCAGTTGATTGTTTCTAAGGAATGGGTTATTGGAGAACACATCGCTGTGCCCCTGTCAAAGTGATGTGATTTTTGGTGAGAAGCTCATTTTGTAGGGATTTGCTATCAGGGACTTGGTTTGGGGAGCAAGGAGCAGGAACTGGGTGGGAGTTGAGGTGATGGTGAGGTGAGGGTGTGCTCAGGGGGTGGGAAGCAACAGAGCCCATGGTGAACATCTCCCTTTGAGGCTGGTGCTGAACTCCCGGCACCAGGGCTGACAGCAGAGGATGGCACATCCACATCTACTGCCATTCGCATCTCTTTCCTTTATCTTCCTTTCTGGATTCTTTGTCTAAACACAAAACAACAACCTCCAGCCTAGAAATGCTTCCCCAAAACCTGTTGAAAGGCCATTGAGTGCCATTCAAGCCTACGGAAGTGAAACAAAGGTAAAATTAGGCTTCTCCTTGTAAGTCTTAATTTACCCTTCCCGTGAAAAATGCAGTGACACTGTCACTCGTATGACCCCGCGCTATTTCTGGCCTTGTTTTGTTTCCCCTCCCTTCAGAGTTTCCGACTCATTCAGCAAATGGTGTGTGTCATGTAGTAAATGAGGCTGGAGCACCCGCTTCTCCTAATGATAGTATTAGTAATAGCTGCAGATAGTAACTGCGTAGCTGGGGCCTGGCTGACGTTACCATGAAGCTCTGCTTTAAGCATGTTCAGTGGTGTTCTACAGTACCAACACAGAGTGGGCAGGAATTGACTCAAACCGAGTGTCTAAAGTAGACGGTTTTGGGGTTTTTTTGGAGGGTGACACTGAGCTTTGGTTTCATGTTTGATCTCTGTGCCTGGAACAGGGAGCTCATGGTTCCTGTAGCAGTAGAAGGATTGGGTGGGTGGCAAAGTGGCACCAGCCAGATCCTAATGGGCACTTTAAATACGTTTGGAGTTGATGTCTTGGATGTAAGAAGATGAGAGAACATCACAGCACACTGTAGTGTTGTTCTGCTGGGATTGGAGGCAGGGAGAGGGTGTAGGAAACTGCTGATGTGGTCACATATCACTACTGATACAGAATCATAGAATCACAGAATGGTTTGGGTTGGAAAGGGCCTTAAGATCATTCAGTTCTAACCCCCTGTCATGGGCAGGGACACCTCACACTAAACCATGTCACCCAAGGCTCTGTCCAACCTGGCCTTGAACACTGCCAGGGATGGAGCATTTGCCTTCATCACGTGTCACTGCTAATATGATCACCAGTTACTTTGTATGTTAAATGAAAACAGGGTCTAAGATTGGTGTGTGCTCATGTACTTTATAGTATGGACACAGCATATAGACACAGGGGGTGAACTTGAGATCCTAGAGAGTTCTTCCATTCTGGCTTTTGTACTTTGTTACTTCTGGATCACTATATGGTGATGTTAATGCCCTCGTAAATCAATTGTAACATAGCCCACAAAGCTCCTTGGGGCCCGTGAAGCTCCAAGGGGACTGTTCTTTCTTGCAGTCATCTCCTGTCCATATTCACCCTGCAGGAAAGCTGCTGCTGCTGCTGAACAGGGCCAGATGCCATCAAGCAGCACTTATCTCTGTCCCATGAGTTATCTGTATCAGTTGGGTTGTTTGGTGCAAGCTTTAATGGTGGTTAATATCTTGTGATGTATGATGGTACCAGAGACTGTGCATGGGGCAGCTCTCCATCCTCAGCTGCCATGAGTGCTGTCCATGTACAGACACAGGCTGGAGTAGAAACTGGAGTGTTTTGGGGTAAAACCTTCTACCCTGAGTAAAGACATGAAAATTGGGCTCATAAACCTGTTCTCAAACACCTTGCGAGGGTGACGGCTTGATGGCCAAGTACATCTGTGAATGAAACTGCAACCAGATACACAGAGAGGGGGGGCTCTTGACTTGGTAGCCCAGGGAAGCATGACGGTAACAAGTGATCGGTCACTCTAAGATCTGCTTTGAGTGCTCCAGCTTGAAGGGCAGCAGCACCGAGCACAACCACGTCATTCATGGAAGCATTCTGAGGCTGCTGTAGAGTAGTTTAGGAGCCAGTGGCACAGAGATGAGAGGCTGAGCACTGTAGGATCACTGAACATCAAGCCCCTCTTCTGCATTCCCTGTACGGAGCATGTGCTCCATGTGGATTTCGGGGTGTCACACTCTCCAGTTCCTGCCTTCCCTTCTTACGCCTGAACTCCAAGCTTCTCATCTTCAACAGTGACCAAGTTACTGTAATTCTTCACCATCAAATTTGCCTGTTTGTTTCCAGGAGCTCCCAACACGGCAGAGCTGAGGATTTGTCGGGTGAACAAGAATTGTGGAAGCGTAAAAGGAGGAGATGAGATATTTCTGCTGTGTGACAAAGTTCAGAAGGGTAATCCTGACGAGGTTCTTCCTTTCCCTTTGTCCCACATGGCTGGTTACCACTTCCTAGCTGGGGAACTGAAGCCCTTCAGCACACTCTTGGTTGGGTGGTTTGGTTTCATAACTTAGCTTTCGGTTCAAAGGCACCTGAGTGGCTTTAAAGTCATCTGCTTTGCATCCGAATTCTGAGTCAGACTCTGTTCTGTGCTCCCCTTCTCCCTTTTTTCCTGTGCAAGTTTTCCATTCTTCACCTTATCAAGCACCTTCTGTTTCCAATGGAGCAGATGATATCGAAGTCAGATTCGTCTTGGACAACTGGGAGGCCAAAGGCTCCTTCTCCCAAGCTGACGTTCACCGTCAGGTAGCGATCGTGTTCCGAACGCCGCCGTTCCTCAGGGACATCACCGAGCCCGTCACGGTGAAGATGCAGCTGAGGAGACCGTCGGACCAGGAAGTCAGTGAACCCATGGATTTCAGATACCTACCAGATGAGAAGGGTATGGCTCCAATTAGCTGAGATTCTGAAAAGCCATTAGCAGTGCAAACCTTGTGTTGATTGTAAGCTTAATTAGGAAAGATACTACGAGCCTACTTCTACAAAGCAGGTTTTGGGGTTTTAGAAGTAAGAGTAGCCAATTTGTTTCCTCTTTCAATGAACGTATCAAGAACCACAGAATGGTTTGGGTTGGAAAGGACCTTAAGATCATCCAGTTCCAACCCCTTGCTGTGGGCAGGGACATCTCACACTAAATCATGTCACCCAAGACTCCATCCAGCCTGGCTTTGAACCCACAAGTATATCCAGGTCCCTGAGCAAAAGCAATCCCAAGAGTGGGTTTGCCTTTACCTGAAGCAGTTTCTTGGTTCATTAATGCTGTCACGTCTGAAATATATATCTTACTATAGATCTTACTACAATGAGGTGCCATTAATAGGTTACCAAAGAGAAACGTAACCCTTTTCCCTCCCTTTCTCTGTAGATCCGTATGGCAACAAAGCAAAGAGGCAGAGATCAACGCTGGCTTTGCAAAAGCTGATCAAGGACTGTGGTAAGGAAAACATTGGGGTTTTTCTTGGCTGAGCGAACTCGCATCGAGATGGAGTTATTCTGTGTAAAAGCAGATGTCCAGTGTTGACTCAGCGCTTTCTTCCATCGCAGGATCAGGTGTGACGGAGAGGCCCAAAGTCGCTCCGTTCCCTGGTGTCCCTCCTGAAGGGAAGACGATTAAGAAAGGTAGGGTTTTGCTTTGGAACTGATCATGTCCAATGGCTGTGGGGAAGGGCTGGAGCATTTTCAGGGGGGGCACTGAAATTCCCAAGACAGTTCCTTTCTCTTACTCCCTTCTCCAGATGCTTCTCAAAGCCTCAGCCATGCTGCAGCTTCCCCTTTGCACAGGAGAGGGCTGCACCACCTTCATCTTGACGTTCAGCCTTAGTTTAGATAATGACCCATTCTCTGTGCTGCACCTTTCAAACACTCAGCCATAGAATCATAGAATCAGCTGGGTTGGAAAAGACCTTTAAGCTCATCCAATCCAACCTCTACCCCAGCACTGCCAAGGCCACCACTAACCCATGGCACTGAGGCCTCATCTCCACGGGGTGTGAACACTGGCAGGGCCGGTGCCTGCAGCCCTGCCCTGGGCAGCCTGTTCCAATGCCTGAGCACCCTCTGGGGCAGGAATTGTTCCTCAGCTCCATCTAAACCTGCCCTGGTGCAGCTTGAGGCCGGTTCCTCTTGTCCCATCCCTTGTTCCTTGGGAGCAGAGCCCAGCCCCTCCTGGCTCCATCCTCCTGTCAGGCAGTTGTAGGCAGCCATCAGGTCCCCCCTGAGCCTTCTCTTCTCCAGACTGAACCCCCCAGTTCTCTCAGCCGTTCCCCATCACACTTGGGCTCCAGGCCCTGCACCAGCTCCATTGCCCTTCTCTGGCCTTGCTCCAGCACCTCAATGTCTCTCTTGCAATGAGGGCTGCAGAACAGTCGCTGGGCTTCCCTCCTCTATGTTTTAAATTCTGATATTCTCTTGAGGATTTCTTCCTTTAAGACACGGGTACTTTTGACTATACAAAATAAACCCATCCGTTCTTAATTGTAGCTGTCACGTTCAGTGGTTGCATGGGGGGGTGAGATGGGTTGCTGCTTTAGATCTCTGTCTTCTCTTTCTCTCCAGAAGCCTGGGGTCCACCCTGTAGAGCAGTTAAGCTAGTATAGCCTGCATAGTCTTACTAAGACAGCATTGGGTTTGCTTTTTACCACTTGTAATTCAAAACCCCATAAAAAGTGGCATTAAAACACAGTCACATCTTTGCTTTCCATAGAACCAAGCTTGTTTTCCTCCTCACTGGTGATGTCAGGGTTGGGAGCCTTGGACAACTCCAGTCAGATCTACCCTGTGTGCAACCAGATGGCGCAGGTGGGGCCAGGGAAGCAAGACACGCTGTCCTCATGCTGGCCGCTGTGCAGCAACCTGAACGCAGGCAGCAGCCTGCTGGGGGCCCACACACAGAACAGCTTTGGGGCAGACATGTCCCAGCCTGGTGCCCAGGGCAGCAGCTCCCTCCCAGCTTTCCACAACAACACTCTGACCTGGCCTGATGACAAGGAATCGGGCTTCTACCGGAACTTCAGCAGCACGAATGGGCTGGGAGCGGTGTCGGTGTCCGGGGCAGACATGCAGAGTGTGTCCAGTAACAGCATCGCGCACGCAGCTCATCCCTCCAGCATCTCCACCGCCAGCATCGTCAGCATGGAGACCGACGACATGACCTGCACCAATCTGAACTTTGACAAGTACAACCCCGTGCCGAACACGAGCAGCCCCAGGCAGCAGCTCCACCCGGTGCCTCCAGCCTGCCCATCGGGAGCAGCCCCGGGCAGCGTGCCCTTCAACCCGCAGCCTAACTTAGCTGACCCAGCGTTTTACAGCCTTATAGGCCAAGACGTTTTGAGTGAATCAAGATTCTCCACCAACCCCATCCCAAACCCACAGAGCATTGCAGATAACCAGTACTATGACACCGATGGTGTCCACGCTGATGAGCTCTATCAGTCTTTCCAATTTGATAGCCTATTACAGAACTTTAACCATTGAGCGGGTACATAGATGCCTAGCTGTGAGAAGAAGAGTAACTTACCCTTCTGGAGTCCCTGCTTTCTGTTTCAGAATGTTGCTCTGCAAGTTTCATGATATATAAATCACAGCCCAGAGACCGGTGCCCATAAAAGAAAGAGAGGTGGGAGGAGAGTTTGGGGTCCTGTACCTTAAAAATACCTTGTATACCTATTTTTACGCTGTTGGAAAAGGGAACTGTTAACACTTAAATCTTCCTGACCTTTGGGAATTGCAAAAGCTGGTGTCTTCAGAAGGGTTAAGATTTCAAACGCTTCACAGGGTTAAAATTGGTTGAAAAAGAACAATTTTATTTTTGCTAGGAAAATTGAATTTAAATTTTATTAGGACAGAAACTAAAGGAAAAAACCCTGCACATGGGCACTCCAGTTCAGACTCCCCTAACCCTGTTCAAGTTGGACTCAACTCAACTCGACAGGTTTAGGTTTCTTACCCTTGTCCATGCAAAATATTCTTCTACCCATCATCACGCATTGATATATATCTGTTTTTACAGTCTAACCACAATCCATTTGCTTTGAAGGCAAATTTACTCTTAAAATCTTTTTAATGACTATGTCATTGTTAGATGTATTTTTAACAGACCGGAAGGTTTGAGTTTTTTAAAGAGTCCAGCTCTGTTGTAAATGAATCACTGCACAAAAGAACGAACAGCAAGTGAGGACTTCTCTGCACTTCATCCCAAGTGCAGTTTTAAACGACAAACCCCATTGCTTTAGGAATGGAGCACGCTGGTATTTCTCTGGAAGTTTTTTTTGTGCACATTGTCATTTTGAACTGGGGAAATCTGTTGAGCCGCAGCACCTACCTGTTCTTTCCTCAGGTATCGTGGCAGTTTCCTGCTATGCAAGTGACTGCCTAAAAAGAAGGCTCAGATCCTGCCTCCCCACCACAAGACAGCTTTTGGGGCAGAGCTGGAGGCAGTCCTAGGAACAACTCGCAGCCACTGCAGTCTATGCTAAGTACAAACACTCCTCTATGCCATGCATCAGAAACTTACTGCCTTCCACATGATTCCCAGTCTTCCTTCTTAGCCTGAGTTGTGAGATGCTCAGTGGCAGCTCACATGGATGTAAACGGCTAGGTAAGACACTCTGCATCATAGGGCTTTGCTGGTTTATTATTAATACTATTATTTTTTAAGCATCAATACAGCAAGAAATACTTCAGTATTTCTTAATTTATCCAGCTGTTTGGTATGGCAATTAAAGCTTAAGAATCTCACTGTTACTGTTTGGCGATGTAAAACCACACCATGGAAAGAAGCAATAAAAAAACACAATGATATCTAAAAAACCCCCAAACCACAATCCCAAATCACACAACTGTTGAGGTGAATAGTTGTACACAAGGCAGAAAGAACGCCAGAAAGTCCCCGTGGTTTATAGGAAAGCAATGACTCCTTAACTGCAGGAATTCATTGCACTCAAAGCAACAAGGTGCTGCCTCTGGAATGCATTACACCAATTCCATGGGTTTGATGGAATATGCTCCTTAGACAACATGTAGGATAGATGAAGTTTGGAAAACTGCTTCCCTTAACTCCAGGCACACGACACAAGGAATTCACTCTCTGTTTTAAAGCCATTTTTCCTCCCCTCTGCATAGCTCCTCTGCAGTCCTAAGTAACAGAAAGACCAAAGCAAGCTCAGAATGTGTTTATTCAGTTCTTTTTTGTTGCTGTTTGAAGTTCTCAATTTTAAGTATATTAAATGTAAACATTTTTCTCACTTCATAGGAAGCTCTTCATGTTACAGTTTGGTTTTACTGTATCATTAAAGATTTTCAAAGTCCTGTTTTCCTTTGTAAACGGGTCAGTTTGGTAATTAAAAACTGGTTATACCAAGCGCTCTGCTTCTGCAACCTCAGATTGGTGACATCCCTCCCCACAGCAGAAATGGGAGAAGGTAGGTTATCAGTTGCCTTCTAGAGGATTTTCTGCTCATGGGTTCTACTGGCCACAACAAAACCTTAAGCAGTGTGTGCAGGAAGAGGTCATCTGACATTTCCTGTGGCACAGCAATTGACTTCTTGGTCAAAGAAGAGAGGACAAATGCTTCCATGCTCAGCTAGAGCTGGTACAACACACAACAGCTTTATTCCGAGTCCTTCCAGTGTGAAGAAGGATGGTGCTAAAGGAAAAAGGACCTAAAATTTTCCACTATTTTTCAAGTAACACTTTTTCATCTCACAACACATAATGAACAGGTTTTCTTTCTCACAAAACATCCCATTTTGAGTACTTGCAAGTAGGTATTTTATATTAAAGTTGTACAAAGTACAACATTTGGCTTAAAGAGGCGAGATTGAGCTGAGCTCTTAGGCAGAAGCTCTTCCCTATGAGAGTGCTGAAGCACTGGCACAGGGTGCCCAGAGAAGCTGTGGCTGCCCCATCCCTAGCAGTGCTCAAGGGCTGGAGCAAGCTGCTCTAGTGGAAGGTGTCCCTGTCCGTGGCAGGGGGTTGGAACTGGATGAGCTTTAAAGTCCTTTCCAACCCAAAGCATTCTATGATTCTATAATTAATATTACTGCTGCAATATTCATTAGAGCTTCTGATAGTTCAAAGTGTTTACCTTGTATTAGAAACATCAGGATTTAAACAGAAGTTCAGACCCCCAGATTACAGCTCTCATGTTCATATTTTCACATGGTCACTGAACAATAACTACTTAAAGGGCTGTAGAGATTTTTGCCTCGTCAGCTGACTTTTCCCTCTCATTTGGATGCTTCACATTTATCATAAAAATAAACAATTTGGGAATTTTCAGTGTATCTATCTCTCCACATTGTATGGAGAAGAAGTTAGACCCAGCACATTTAGTTAACCTTTATAGCCTTGTTTATCCACACTTGAATTGTTACCATGATCTCCAGTGGCACCAGGATAACGTACAGCATGGTGCAGAAAGCCGCAGCTGCAGTAGGGCAGGAGCCCTTTCTGCCTCAGCCTGATCAGCTACATTTCCCCTTGGAACAGCACTTTTCATTCCTGTTGTGTCCACAGTGCAGTCTTGTTTACATTTTTTCCCCTTTAGTTTATGGAATTTATAAATCTTATCTTAGCTCACTTTGAGGTTCAAGAAATCCCATTGATTGAAATTCTCTTTTGTCTGTCTTCTAAATTCAGTGTAAGTTTTCCATCATTCATGACACTTCCTTTCTGGGTACAGATCATTGTCTGAGACACCTATGCCTGGAATCTGTTGCTCATAACGGCTTTAAGACTGAAAACAAAAACATACTGCTCCCTGAATCATGTTCCTATTATTTTTGTGTTAGCTTTTAGGAGCTCCTTGAAGGTGTATTTATTAATACCTTTTTGAGCCTTCAGCTGAAGTTATCCTGCAGTTGTTCTATCATAAGATCCTGGCAACCACTGAAGGTAAAACATCTCAGTAGTACCAAATAGTGGTTTGTCTTGGCAAATACTACCTTTATTTATGAAATGTGAATTAATGAAGAGCCCTTCTATTCCAAACCTTAATCTCTAGTTGAGAGTTTAACTCTCTTCTGTACTTAAGTAAGCAGAAGCATCTTCCTAGTGAATTAACATGATACAGGCATAAAAGTGGCTTTTCCTAAAGATGTAGGTGGTACTTTGCATGAAACATAAAATAAGCAAAGAAAAAAACCTCAGATCTTCCTTGTTCCAGGAAGTTCCTAGGCAGTGTTCAACTCTTAGAGGCACCCATCCAAGGTTGGATACTAGAAGAAATGTATTATGCTACTAAACCAAAGCCTTTTCTCTCTGTCTTGGTCTCTCAATACCACCCTTCTTTGCTATGTTTTATATTTGCCTGCACTTTGAGGTTCCTGGTATTCCTGTTTTTTCTTTACATTTCCATTATGCACCTCTGCCAGGAGTTCCCAATCTTTTTATACATGGTGACTCAACTGGGGAAATCCTGTGCCTGAAGAGAACTGTAACCAGGCCAGAGAGCTGCTGAGGCCTCAAGTACCTCATCTGTTCTTTTTCTAGGAACCCTTGCTGATGTTTTTAAATGAGAAGAACTTGGGTGTAAGTGAAGTTTTCCTCTGAAAACTGGTTTTCCCTTTGAAAAGTACTTTGTCTGGGAGACAGATTGCCCTTCTCCAAACCTGACAGACACTGCCCAAAAAGCAGTTAGCAGAGAGTGAGGCACCACCTCCCTCCCAGGCACTGTTGGTTTCAGTCTCCCTCTTTTGGGGGATTTCCTGCATGAACAGTACTTGGGAAAAGTTAGGACTGGGTTTCAGGTAACCCTGTGCTACCTGCATCCAGATGACAAAAGCTATAGCACCCAATATAAAAACAGTTTAAAATAAATACATCTGGCTTGAGGGAGGGTTGTTTTTAATGAAAACATTTTAATCTATTACAGAATGGCTATTTGATGTACTTGCTGAGTACTCCCTTTGCATATGTTACACTATTTTCCTTTAAAAAGACTTAGTATCAATACAGTAGCTTACCAAAATCCTTTTATCCACAGAGGCAATTAAAATAAGGCTAGAGATTGAACCAACACTACCTGTTCAGAGTGTTTAAAGTTGATTCAAAGTAACAGTATGCTTTGGCAGATCAACATGATCCAAATGTTCAACAGAAATCAGTTTGCAACCAAGCTCTGATACTGTACAGTGCTCAGTCACCAGCTGCTGACAGCGGAGCTGCTTCTTCCTCGTCCCAGCTTGAAAAGTTAATTATCCAAGGTTGGAGGCCAGTCAACATCAACAGACTGAAATGCAGGGGAAAAAAACAAAGGCAAAATCAACAGACTTGATATTTTACATATATAAAGAGATCTAGTAGCACGCTCTATGCTTGTCAGCACTAGGTTTATAGTGGAAAGAAACAGTAAATAAATGGTACTAAGATATGAGACGTGGGACAATACAAGCAGGAACCAGTGGCATGAAACAGCCACCTCTTTCTGGTTGCTCTGTGTGTCTGGAGAGAGCTTTACGAGCCAGGCTTTCTTCATAAAGCAGAATCACAACTCTTTATACTACTACTGTCCAGCATCATTTCATGGAGGGCTGCATTTACAACATGTCCAGATCTGTTAATTAGAAACATGGACCATCTCCACCTTCTACACATCCTGCATATGGGTCATGATGCTGTGAAAGCAAACAACTTGTGGATTGATGCCACAGAAATACTCAGGTACTGGGCAGTGCAGGCAAGGCTTGAGTAGAAAACCATCGCCTGCCCCCAAATCTGCCTTCTGAATAAGGAAAACTAGACTAAAAGAATAAGTTGTCATGCATTATGTGCAAGAGTTATCTAGGCAACATCATGAACAGTTATCCTGACTGTTAGTTAAAACGGACAACACATGCCTGACACTCTATTACAAGCAAATGTCATAATTACTACAGCTTGGATCATGTCTTGCTTCCCTGAGGCTACATCTCCACTTCCCTTTGGGCATCAACTTGTTGCTCACCTTCTTCCAAAAGCAACACACCCAATGCTTCCACAGTATCACCATTTGCAATCACAAAGCAGGGATCGCCCCACAGCACATTAACCACCTTGGCTCCAAGACTGCCTACATTAATCATACCTACTCCTCAGCTAATCTACAACTGCATCAAAGGAGTAGGCTCTTAGGCTGAGCTAAAATGCATTACTAGCAAGATGACTAATTATTTTCAAGTCCCTAAACATCTTTCATAGTTACGTCCAATAGCTGCAGTGACACCTATCCGTATGAAAGCGATACTTTATCAGCCTGAGCCCCATCAGGTGTTCCTGCTTTCCACACTAACTCAAGTGCCCTCTGCAAGCTCTCCTTCTGTATCATCCCACAAAAGATATGCAGAAAACTGCAAGGCTGTTAATGCAAAATGTAACACGTGGGCAGCTCTCCTGAAGTACATGAGAACAAGCACGTTGATCAATGGCTATTTGAAAATAAAGCGCATGTTTTAAATGAACCTTGCCAAACCATGAAGTTAAGTGTTAAATCCATATCTCTACATGCATTCTTTTAACCAAAACAAATCCTGGCTTTTCATCTGATGCCAGCAAGTGAGAAAATATAATTTCTTGCTGTGTTTGAACCAGCATTGAAAAAGGAACTCAAATCTCTCCTATTTTTCAATTTGAAAAGAAGTGATGTGCTACACGTAACATGGCTAAGCTCTGTTCCAGTGGTTGCTAATCACAAGTGTCATCAATTCATGGTATGTCTTCCCATCCCTCCCTGCATGAATTACGCCAAGGAGCCTGTCCTGTGTGTCAGCAGGGTGCAAACCACTATTTTTGCATTAACAGCAATTTTTCTATTAACTGTGGTAAGGAAGGTAGATTTGGTTAGAATAATTCCACTGAAAGCATCTCACAAATGCAACTACCTGACTAATTTCCAGGGAAGATAAAGAACAGACAACTTACTTCTACATCCAGCTCCAGAATGTCAGCAGTTCTGTTCAGTAGGGAGCCAATATTGGGCTTTGTTCTTCCAAAGTCTCCATGCACAAATTCTTTAATGTAGCTAGAAATAATGGCTAAGGAAAGGTGTATTTACCACAAAGAAATCAAAATAGTGCCTTTTTCTACTCCTATATCCATTTGCAGTGAATAAACCTCCTGTTAATGCCATATCCATCTTTAAAAGACTTCCTCATTCTTGGCTTTTGACTCAGATGCCAAAACCTGCACTATGGACCTACATTTTCTATTTCATTCCGAAGTGAGTGGTGACAAAAACTCATTTATGGCAAAAGTTGCTAACTTGTAGATAGCAGGAATCTGCAGTGCATTAAATATTGTGGAAAAGCTTATTTTCTAAGGTGAAAAGCTTTCAGTCAAATTAGAAAAAGCTTAAGAGTATCTATCTTTAACCAGTATATTTTTATAGTTACCACATACTTTAACAAAGTGGTCATCACAAAAAACACATACACGTGGAGATAGTGTTGCTGATTGAAAGCCTGAATGTGAAATTCTGACATAAAAGCAGCAATTAAGCAGCAACATATGAGTGTTGAAGAGCAGAGACTTAGAAACACCACAGTGATAAAAGCAGGAAACTTCCCATTACCGAAATGACTCTCATCAGCAAGCTGTAAGCATTGTGTAACAGCTTCTAAGGATACGTTCCTGCCTGAGTCTTCAGGTGCAGGCGAAAATGATGCTCGTCTATGTACTCAGACCTCATGGTGTGAATGATCCTACATCTTACAGCAAGAGGCCTCCTGTGAAGCACCCGCAGAGGTGTCTTCTGGTCGAGTTTTAACTCCTGTTACGGGGGTAACAAAATAAATGAGGAAGGAAATGTGCAACATACAACACATATTGTAACAGTCGTGTATTGTTAAGCAACCACATCTCTTTTATGTTGTATTATGGTAGCTGAGTAATCCTGAGGCAAAGCTAAGTTTTGCTGTGTTTATCAGAGGAGCTAAGGACAGCCATCTCAAAGGCTAAATGAGAAGGACTCATATGAACACAAACTAATGGAATCACAAATACAGAGGAATAACCTTGAAATCTCCACAGTCCTTTGCTGGAATGACTCCAGGATTTAGAAGCTCACTGAGAGCCTCAAGGCAATCAAAAACCTAAAAAAATCCCACCCACAAAATGCTTTGTCTAAACTACAGCCAAGCCCCTAGAAATAAAAGTGAGGAAAAAAAGCCTAAATGAGATTAGATCTCAGAGCACTCTTTTCATTCCCCAAATGAGATGCAGCAGTCTGAATGGCAACTTCTCAGGGAGTGGGCATGCTAAGAAAAGAGCATCACAACAGTTGTCTCCCTGAACTGTAATGGCTCCAGCCCTCACTTTGAGAATGATTTCAGGGCCAAGACCCATAGGAAATGGTGCAAAACAACAAAAACTGAACAGCCTTCTCCCTCAGCAGCATCTCCCTAACCAACACTCAGAGAAAGTTCTCATTGACCCAGCATGTTGATTACACTGAACGCTTCATAAGGCCTCTTTGCATTATTTACCATAGACATCTCAAACTCCTTATTGCTGCAGCTGTGGAAGAATGACTTTAGAGCTTGCAGAACTAAAGACCTTCTCTGCTCCTTGCACTGCTGCAAAACACTATCTAAGGTAAAGAAAGGCGTGCAGGTGCCAGAATTCGCCCTCTCCCATTTGCTAATTTTCATATTTGGTCTACAGGAAGGTCAACATTATACAGTAATGTGTTGGCTTGGCTAACAGCCAGCCAGCTGTATTGCTACAACAACAATAGGGAAGTAAGGAAGACTGAGAAGGGAGGTATGGGAGTCCCTATAGCAAGAGAAACCCTGATGATAAAAACACCAAACCCAGAGAAAGAGATATGCTCATGGGTTCACACAAACTCTCCCCTAAGGCACCAGGACAGGTACTATATAAATCAGCAAAAAGGGCTACCTTGATATCATCTAGAAATGCAATATCTTCTTTCTGTATTGCTTTGTCTGTCCATATTAAGGCACTGTAGGTCTTTGTCTTCTCCTCTTCACCTTCTTTCATACGACCAATTGCCTCTCTAAACAAAAGAAATTAATTACTCCCATAATATAAGCATAATTGTATAATGCTGTGAGCAAGAATGCTTGCAAAACTCCCACAGCATCACTTTGAAATCCCTTGCCAGCAATAATAAATACTGACCTGGTGACAAGCTGTAAATCTCGAACCTGTATTTTGTCTGAAGAGGTATTAATTGTCTGTGATATTTAAAAAAGAATCAGTTAGAAAACCTGCTCAGTTAGAGCAGAAACACATGTTTTATGAGTTCCAGGAGGTGCAAATGATTTACCTGCTGAAGCCTCTTCATTTCCTCAGCAGTAAAATGTATTCTACGAGGATTCACAAGCTCAATTGCAAAGGGCCTTCCTGGCAACATGCAGAGTCATAAAACATAAAAACATGTTGTTCTAAATTAACGTCTGAATTTATGCAGGAAGGTTGGAAGGTGTGAAGATTGTCTGCTGTTATGCAAACAGGGATAGGACTTGCGGGTTTAGGGACAAAGCATCAGATGGAGGGAAAGAAACAAGGGACACTTTTTTGGCTACTAAACCCCAGTATCAGCAGTAAGTGCAAATTAAAACTTCCCAGAAGACATCTTGTACAAGTCTGTGCTAATTAAAAAATAAAATAAGAAAAAAAGTTAATTAGCTTATTTTCTGTCACCTACAGCAATGCCCAGGTGCAAGATGATGTTAAATCCCGCTCCCTCCGCTAAACATCTGTTGCAATAGCTGCACTTTCTGTGCTCAGGGCCAGGGATGATCCCTAGTATAACCAATGCCAAGAACTACAATACAGATCAGACAGCAACTGGAACACATCATTGTTAATTTTGACTTTTTCTTTCCCCTCATCCTCTGGCTATAGCAGCTTCAGCAGATTGGAAAGCAACCGACCTTTCTAAAGGACCCAAGTTCAGAAAGGAAATAAGGCCTTCTCCTCCCCAGTGACAGTGAGCCAAAGTAGGACTCAACAGAAACAAGACAGGAATCAGTCTGATACAAATGGTTTAAGAATAGCAATAAAATTCTTCCAACAAGCTAGGCATTTCCATATACTTGCGCAGCCAAGGACACTGAAAAAGGCCTTCCCTTTCAGCTGGATTTATGAAATGGTTCAGTCTTTGGGAACAAATACATAGATATCACTAAAATGTTTCTGAGATTGAATTTTAGAGCATGCCTAGTCACACACTTATGCACTTAGCATTAGAGCTATTAGGGCATCTTCAGCTGACCATTTTGTGTGTTTCTGTGTTTCACAAGGGATGTTTCAAACCTTACCATTGCCTAGTGTTCTTACATCCACATCTTCTCTTCCAGAGGAAGAAAAATTAAAGCCTACAACAGATTAGAACAAGGCAGGTGAGATTTGATTTTGCATTTTTAACACCCTACAGCTCTTAAAAGGTGAAATATTTTCTTCCTGAACTTGTTTGCAAAACTACTTCAAAGAGCTGTCTGTATAAAATGAAGCCTACCCCTCTGAGACAGTTACTGCTTTCTGATGCACAAGTGTCTTGAAGAACATTCCTAGTTCCTTGGCCTGAATGAGACTGTGCCAAGCTTGAAACTGTCCTAAAGTAAAGCAATACAATCCTATCGGAATTCCATTTACTAATTGTGTTCATTTCTTGTCCAGATAATTTAAGTTTATGAATAAAATCAAGCTGAGCTGTCTTTCTCCAAACCACAACATTTTATCCTAAATATACCCAATAATTTCTACAGATATAGAATCATAGAATCATAGAATAGTTAGGGTTGGAAAGGACCTTAAGATCATCCAGTTCCAACCCCCCTGCCATGGGCAGGGACACCTCACACTAAACCATATCACCCAAGGCCTCGTCCAACCTGGCCTTGAACACTGCCAGGGATGGAGCATTCACAACCTCCCTGGGCAACCCATTACAGTGCCTCACCACCCTAACAGGAAAGAATTTCCTCCTTATATCCAACCTAAACTTCCCCTGTTTAAGTTTTAACCCATTACCCCTTGTCCTATCACTACAGTCCCTAATGAAGAGTCCAGAGAAGTTTCTGCTGGTCACATATCTGGAGAAAAGAGAAAGAAAACTCAAGTCCAAACTGAAAAGTGACCTCTGCATATTTGGGTTTTTTTCATCTTTCAAGCTACAAAAATGCATTGTTGGGTATTCAGTTTCCTTCACCATATCCCCTCCACCTTTAAGCTTTGCCTGAAGGAGGGACTCACTTAGGTATGTCCACATCTTTCCTGTACTGGGAAGCCCAGAACTGGATCCAATACTCCAGATATGTCTCCCCAGTGCTGAGTAAAAGGCAAGTAAAAGGCACCTCCCTTGACCTACTGACAGTCACCTTTCTACTTGTTTATATCTCTTCTCAACATTACTGCCCATGCACTACCACTGTGGTAAATCTGCAAGCTGGAATCAGGTGTCACACAGTACTGTAACCATAACATTCACATCATCAGATCAATTGAGGAGCTATTTTAGTAGGATAAAAGACTGCATCTAGTCTCTCACAGATAAAAAATGTTTCCAAGTTTTGACTTGGAAGGATAAAAGTGGCATAAAGAAACTTTTCCCATTACACTTTTGTATCAAGTGAGTAGTTACTAAGAAAAAACATTTATGATGAGAAAACATGTCGAAGATACTTACTATCTGCTTTGAATTGTGCCATTAGATGCTCTGAAATCAGCTCTTCCACTGAGGATTCCAGCTTCCGCTCCCCATCAATAATCCACGGAGTCTGAGGTAAATTCCTTGAGTATTTGTTGTATCTTCCTGTAAAAACCAGCTATGTCACCTGCAATCATTCTAAACCAGTGGAGTATTCCACATTTCGTTCTCACTGGAGCCTTGTGAACACAAATTTAGAGGCTTAAACCTGCTGTGCCTACAAGAGTTTCAGACTCCCAAGGTGGCCAGCTTAAAGGTAGACTTGGAGCACCTACTTTTGCAGTCATACCTTCAGGCATAACCACAGAAACAAACTGTACATAGGCTGACACAAAAGGGAATGAACCCCAGAGGCTCAATGCCTAGTCTGAGCTAATTCTGAATGGAAAAAAATGGGGTTTTAATCAGAGCTTGGTCTTGAACCAGCCTCCCGTGTGCCAAACTAGTGCTATATGTATGCCCATCCACCAATGCATGCATGCCCCAACAAGTCCCCTCACTCTCGTATTGAGTTCCAACCCAAGTTCTGCCATTGAATGCTTAACAAAAGAAACCCAAACTGAAGTGCTTTGGCTAATTACAAGGAAAGCCATGTGAGCCAAATGTCTTAATAATAAACCAGCATGAATTTCAAGAACCTTGCAAAGTTGCCATGCAAAGCAGTTGCCATCCTCTGACTAATTCCAGTTATGGTCTCATTTTATGCCCCGCTAGCATGCTGTCTCCTGTGACATGAAGACTGTTATAACTAAAGACCCAGCCTGACATGGATGACCAAGATGAGCTTTCTTATTGACAAGTTTTGTAAGAAGTGAAAATATGCACAAAACAAGGAACTCAATCACAAAGAACAATGAATAAACCCCTGCACAACAAGTTTCAATCTGAGATCTTGCATACACAAAATGAAGTTCATAGCAGCTGTGCCTATTATACTGTCCCTCTGTCATCTCAATTCTTTTGGTTTTCGGTATCGTATTTTCCCATTTCTAACAAGGTTTCCTTCTTGCATTTTGATCTGCAGAAAAACCCACACAAACAAATTGGGGAATTTGACTAATACTGTTTCACTGGGGCATATAATGAAAGCACTATGACTAATCACTCAGCTTCACACTGCTAAATTCTCTTTCCATAAAACAGAAAAAGGAAAATATTATTTTTTTATCTCTCAACTCCCCATTCTAATGATTTCAGTTTTTGAGCTGAAGAAGAGTGAGTTAAAAAAACAATAGGTGTTTCTCCCTTTGACAGCTTTTTCTGAACCCTTAAAATAAAACTTGGGGGGTGAAATCATCACTAAACACCACAGATAAGGTCAAGAAGGCAATACCAACTGTGAAACTGTGCTTGCAGATGAAGATCACGTCTCTTTTAATAACAGCAAAATAACTGCACTGTACTCAATAAATTCTGTTCTGGATTTAATTCTTCAAAAATTAAAGATAACATCCTGTCTGGGGTTTCGTTTGTTTCTTTGAGTGAGCTATAAACTATAAATCACAAAACCAGTATTAAATCACATGTGGAAAGCTAAGTCTCTGTCTCCCTCTCCACACAGATGAATTCTGACCAAACCATCCAATGAAGCAGCCTAAACCAGTGTGTTTGGAAAAGGCTAAGAGACACTGGATATCTTGGGTTCATGAAGATGTACATCCAACTGTTCCCTCAGTGATTAAAAATAAGAAAGAGGTAGGTACAGAACATCAGCTAGCCTGCCATTTGAATATTCACTTTTGCATTTTTTGTTTTCATTTTGTGCTTTTTCCTTTCTTCAGGATTTGTACCATCCTTTTAAATAGTATCCTGGATTTAAATTGCAGGGTTTCAAGAAAAAAAGAAGCTGTTTGCTTATATTTAAATGAGTGGCTGTTTGTACAGAGGAGTAGGGGAAGGGTAGATTCTCTTGCAAGCAGGTAATAAAACAGTTGAATCATCTCAACTCAGGACGGCAAGTGTTGTTGCAGTACCTGTCTCACCCAATTATTTCAGATGCTATCGTGGTTTCAAGTGGGGGAATCTAGAAAGAGCTAAGCTTTCCAAAATTTAATCTTTATTAATCCCATTAAGATTGGCAGTTTTGGATGGAATAATATGCAGATAAATCCAAATCACACCTGCTTCTGGATAAATCCACTCAATGAGCAGAGAAAGTTGTTTTAAGTATTCACATCACCCTGTGCTGTCTCTAGGAGAGAGAACTCTTCCATCTCTCAAAGCAAATCAACAGCAAGGAAAAGCAGGATATTGCTAAAATACCCAGAAGGAAAGTGTGTGCACACTGGGAGCAGCCCAAGTGACATACTCCCCTCCTCCTCCTACCATGGGAACCCTACCTTGTCTCAGCTTCCTGCAGTTCCTACTCCTCTTCAACCACATTCCACCACAGACTATCTCTAAGTTTAAATTCACAGTGTAAGAGCAGAAAAGCAGTTTTGATTTGAGCCTGTTATCTGTAATTTCTAACTTCTGACAAAACCATGTCTTCAGCAAAGGCAAGTTTAATTTCTTCCCCTTTCAAATAAGTCCACTATTGGATAGAGCAAGATTTGTTTCTGTGCTCCTTATACTTCAATAAAGGAATCAACAAATAGCAAGAATCTTCTGGGTCTCACTGCAGTATTACAAAGGTATGTTTAAGATAATACAGCAGCAAATAAAATGGATCACTTTACCAGCCACAAAAACTGCACCGTTATTGCACTGAATTTCCAGAGCAACACAGAGGTTCTTTGGTGAACTTGGGGGACATGGAAAATGCCTGTATAGAAAAAGATTAAAAACAGAGTTATACTGGAACATGGTGGAGCATCATCATAGCAATAATGGCATGCAAAATGATGACTTCAGTTAGACAAAACACAGCTATGGTGTAAACTCAGTATTCACATTAAAAGGTGGAAGAAGAAATGGACAAACATTAAACAAATCAAAACCACTAAATCTTGGTTGGGAATCAAAATAAAGATTTGATTTTTGTGTAATTAAGCACAGTGAACTACAGAGTAAATGTCTGTTGATGTCTTCCCACTGCTTGTGATTTTTACCATATTACAGCACTTGGTGTTTTCTTAAAACTCAACTCCTAACATTTTGGAAATATGGGAAAAAGTCTTTCTTGTAAAGAGAAGCTTGCCTTGTAAACTCTGATGTTCAATATACAGAAGGAAGTTCCATGATTTCTAAATCTCTTTTGCAGTTTTGGGGACATACATAAGATTTTTAAATGTAAACGACTGGCAGTACTACTAGAAGCTGTTTTCATTTCTGACTGTTCTAAATCCCATGCCAGCCCAGAAGCCTGCAGTGCTCTACTGCCAAAAGCACCAAGCATAACTGCAGCTCTCTTGACTCACAATTTCTCCTTCTGAGTTAATCAACCAGAGAGGCACTTCTACTAATGGGAAAAATCATTTGTGTCATGTCCAGTTATATCCATCCTCTGTATCTTCAGCATTTTAATATTACCCCTTAATTAAAAGATCTGGAATGACATTCTATTACCAGAAGAGGAGAAAACACAACATATTTTACCTGGTAAACTAGAGAATTTCAAGAATTAAAAGTGCTTTTATAGACATCTTACCACTACTTACCCACCTAATATTTTCCTCCCCATCCTAACTCTATACAAAAGCACAGTACTAAGAACTAGTTTCAGTATATACTTACTTGAGAAAATCCTCTTCTTTTATCTTCTCTAGGGCTTTTATAACTGCCATTCTAGTGAAAACAGACTGCACAATGAAATAAAAAAATGAGTCAAGAACTAAGAGAGGCTAAGAAAGGATATGCTAAGGAAGAAAAAACCCTAAAACATGCACACTGTAGGATTCTCACAATGTAGTGTTTTCGCTTGTGTTTTATGTTTTCTTATACCTCAAAGCAACTCCATATGAGTAAGAACTCACCATGATCTTCACCCTAATTTTAATATGGCAAACAGCACCAGGTAATTTTGCAAGATTCTATTCAAGTCACTTTACTCACAACATGGAATCAATACGACTAATACAGCTGACAGATTGCAACATAACAGTGATTTAGTTGTAAAACTAAGATTTGCCCCTTTGTTTCTAGAAGACAGGTACAAACTGTAGTGTATGTTTATTCACTGCTTTTACACAGAAAATATAACAAAACTTTCTGTCTATAGTTACTGTATACTATATACTTCCAAATAAACCTACTGCAACTCCTGAGAATATCCAATTGCTAAGCCTGATTGTTGGTTAGCTGAAAGAAATACTATGCATATCTCTGGAAACTATCTTATTTCAGAAGATACACAAAAGTAAGAACAAGAACAGTTCTGAGGTCCAAATCTGCAAACCAGATTAAAAACAGAATCCTAAATCCATGAACATAAACCTAAAAAAGGTTTACATAGAAATATATAAACCTAAAAAAACCTTCCCAGTCTCAAGAGTTAAGTATACCTAAGCCCCAGCTTTTATCTTGGTGACAGCAGACAGCTAGTTCTTCCCCAAATAAGACTGTTGCGTAGGTATCTGTTTATGAAGTTCAAAAGTTCATTCATACTCAGAACTAAGGGCTCTGAATGGTAGGGCTTAGCAGTTCCTGAACTGTGGAAGGCAAGCAACTTCAGACTCCCAAGCTGCATCAATTCACAATGGTGAACAGATAGTCAAAGTAGTAATAATAGTACAGTAATGGCAGGAGTCACAACTACCATCCTCTGTGCATAGCCAGGTGCTCCTGTTGATATCTCAAGTGAGGCTAAGGCAGAAAACACAGAATTTAGGTTTCTAGAGCAGGAGAAACAAGTGTTGTAATGGCTGATGTGGAATCCTGCTTTAGGAAGGCTGAGGACAGTAGGTCTCCTGGTCAGCTGTGAGATCAAACCCTACTATCCAGGGTTTTATCCAGTCAGGTCTTGAAATGCTCCAAGGATGGACCCTGCCCACCCCATTTGCACAACCTGCTCCACTATCCAACTGTCCTCATGGTAAAAATGGCTTTCCTATCTACTCTGAACCTCCCATTTCAACTTACTTCCACTGTCTCTCATCTTCCATCATGCACTGTGATGAACAGCTTGGCTCCCTGCTCTTCATAATCCCTCTATTGGTAAGAGATTCAGTTGGGTCCTCCCTAAAGCTTTCACTTCTCAAAGCTGAAGAAGTCCAGGTTCCTCAGCCTTTCCTCACAGGGCATGTGCTTCAGCTCCCTGACTTGATGGCCATCTGCTGAATTTCTGATTTAAGGATGGGGTGGTTTGTTTTTCAAACTGGATTGGGGATTTGTAAAAAAAAAAAACCCTGAAAAAATTGTCCCTCTTTGGGACAATTTAAGTCTTTGCTCTAACATACAGTTCCTGGATGCTTTCAGGATAGCTAGTCTTTCTCCTTCTAAGCATAGAGATAATAGCACCGTTCTTTCTCATAGAACAGATGAACTGTAAAACCCTTAAAGCAGCAGCATGTTTATCTATGGCAGACGACACAGAAATTTCACTCAGAACCCAGTTTTTATACTACTTCTCTGATTAACACAGCCCTTGAAGCTTTAAGCACAGCTTCTGTATAACCATTAACCTCTGCTGGCTCTTCAGAGCTGATATGTTTTGCTCTAGGTTCCCCTGCATCTTGTTGCCTGTGTAGTTTTAACAGCCAGGCCCTGCTGGTTTAGCTCCTTACTTGGGATTTTCCCCCTTCTAAAGGAAAGTAATGCAGCAAGCAGTGAGTTACAACAATACACTCCTTCTAAAAAAAGACTTGCATTTCTCAGTCAGGTGGAGTAGAGCAGGCAAAATTCCTGGGTAAGACTGCTCTGTCAAATGTCAGGAGACTCTTCACCAGAAAGAATAAAAGGCCTTGCAGAGGCTTCTGACAGAAGTTACTTGTTCTCCCTCTGATCACATCAACTGTCCTTATATCAGTTTCTCTCCAACTGCTTTTTTACTCTTACACGTCCTCTTTTCCATCAATGAGTGTGTGCATGCTCAGGGTCTGCAAGAAGTGGCAAGGTCGCTTTTCTTCCCTCCCCTTCTGCAGAAGCAGAGAGGTTAAAACCATCCTGCATGTATTGTGTCTTTCGTTCAGGTCAGAGGACATGAAAACTGCAGTGTGATCATTTTCCTTTTGGCTGCGGAGTCTCATCTTCAAAATGTGACTTATCTGAACAGAGAGCTTGAGGATCATCTTTTATGCTACTTTTAATGCATGACAATCAACTTCCTAGATCTTAAGGGAGGTATTTACAGAGAACATTCCTAAAATTATGGCCTTTAGACAGTCTGCAAAATGAATGACCTAAAGAAAAGCACCAAGCTCTTAGTTTTCCTAAGCAGGGAAATGTTAAGTCAATAAAGGAGACAACTTTATTTTGAGACAATAAAAAACCAGAGAGATTTCTGATGAAGGAAAACCAGACATTTAACACTGACTGAATACTGAGTTAGTTCTTCATTGTAGCTACTGCTGTGAAATTTTGTATGTCAGAAAAGCAATACAACAATGATGAGATCCTACCTGTTTGTTCTTTGCTGGTTTGAAACAGTCTGGACAGGCTGTGGCTCTAAATAAAGAAATCAAAATTAGCTGTTACTCTTACAGAAGAAGAGGTAAATAAACAGACTTAAAAGCATAGCACGTACACAGTCTTCTACCAATGTGTCCAGTATCTCACTTCCACAGCTTAGCACAGAGCAGATTTTACAATTAACTTTACCCTAAGCCACAAGCAGCAGATGGTGTGTGATGCCTGATCTAGAGAGAAGTCATGGACAAAGCTGTGTAAGCCTCTTCTGCTCCGACACAAATGTGTCTCAGCTTTGAGATGGGATGGAAAAGCACACAAGCAGTTTAGCTGTCAGTCCGTTCCAATCCTTCTCAACAAAGGTCATGATCAGTGTTTAAGTTCCATGCAAGATGTGCTGACATGTTGAAATCTACACTTGCTGTTCTTACACAATGCACACTACAAACTAGAGGTTCAAATTGCTTCTTTTGGATAGGAAAATTCATTACTAATCCTGGGTGTTTGATACCATTTGTGCTTTGCCTCTTCAAAAGGAAACTACTGGTTGTTTCACGAAAGTGAAAGCCAAGTGAGTGAAACACTTTTTCTGAGTACTGTAGAGGAAGTTGCTGTTCCTATTAGTGGATTTCTATGTATGCAGTTAGAGATGATTTCTAGCCTCCAACACAATTTATCAGGTCTTGCTCGTGCTTTTCAAAGCCTCTGTATCTACTTTAGACTATAAGGAAGCAGGCCTGTCCTCTTGTTTTTGTACAAGGAATTTGCCTGACCAGTTTGTGGCACAAAGCATCCCAAACTCCCTCTTCCACTATTTCAATATCACCTTACCTTTAATCAGAAATCTCCAAATATAAACTGTCAAAGCCAGTTCAATCTTCCATATCAAACCCAGCACACTTACCTACACATAACTGTGGAAGAACAGCTTGAGAGATGAGAAATTGCACACACTATACTTGGAAACCTCACCCCAAAGCATACCTGGAGGACTTCTCCAGCTTGAAACAAGATCCTACTTTGCTTCCACAAAAAACATGACTGTCATTACTAGAGCATGACAATTGCCAAATTTACCCTATTTACAAAAGAAACCAAACCACTGCCTCAGAATACGCCCAGAGCCAGCCATTCAGAGGCAGAATGCATTGACACCTGAGAAGCTACTATGTAATTAAATTAGGTAACATGCTATTACTTCAGAAAAATGTCTATTAAAACCTTAATTGCTCTTTAAGTATGCTACAAAGAGAAAGCAAATAAAGGGATATTGTCAGGTCACATGGAATAAAGCTGAGTAGTTAGAATGTGGAATGGAACTTCTTTACAGCTTTCATTGCTATAACTACTCCCTCCGCTCGGAGCGCTGACACTGGCACCGTGACATGCTCCACATGAGTACTTTCGAAATGGCACAAGAAGTATGGGTGAGCTGAAAATAAGAGCTGAGAGGTTTCAGAGAAAGGAAAAGCACTACAGGAAACAAGAGCTGATCAAGTAAAATGAAATATATAAGAACAGAAGGGTGCAGGATCCAGAAACACTTGAATTTTTACAAGGTTGCATGTACCATTATTTAGAGTTGTAGTTTGGCCTCAATAATTTCTCCCCCTTTTGCCCACACTTGAAGAAGCTGGAAAGGAAAGATGTTCAGCAAACACTGGTAATCTATTACTCCAAATACCTTGTCTGTCATCAAGCATGCATTCCCTCCATCCCCCAAGCCAAGATGAGTTAAAGATGCCATTGCTGAAAACCAAGGAGGTGGCAAATGGGGCATTCAAAGATCACAAACTGCCAATTGGGGAAATATGTGAAAGTTGCAAAGGAAATCTGTAGTCTCAACAGATGAATTTACTATGCAACAGAGGAGTCTATGCCAAGTCTCTATCTATGCTAAGATTTAACTTGCAGTAGGGCACAAGTAATGAAACTTTCATTTTCCAAGAAGCATCAGCAAACGGGAGGAGTGAACCTGATTATCCAGAATGTACTACAGAGCTTGAGAAATCAGATTAAATGGCAGCCAAATTCACAGAAATATTTTGCTTCTTTCTGTATAGCAAATACTCAGCTGGGCCAGACCAAAAACTGTGTAGTGATCAGGGAACTTCTGTTTTCATCAACCAGCTAAATTGGATTAACTCACAGCCTTCCTGCCCATGCATGTCTCCTATAAGAGCAGGAAAATCTGCTCAAAAGACCTCAAAAGATTTCCCCACCCGCATGTTTTGAGTTTATCTTTATAAATGACACAGCTATATGAAAAAGGGCTTAAACTGAACAACTTACCTGAATGTTCTCCTTCCAGCTGAAATTCTGGATTACTCGTTCATTGGCTTTAAAGCACAGAATTATCCATAGATGGTGTTACTTTAATTCTATCTGAATATGAAGAAGTTTAGATGCAGCCCCTATTGCAGTTTATAAACACGGTGTATTCTCATCTGTAGCAAATCCGAACCAACAATGTTGCACAATATTTAGATAAAGATCTTTTGTTATTTATATAAAAACTTACAGGAAATGGCACTCCTCATCTGTTTCTGGGTGAGCGAAGACCACACTAACTTCAAACAAACTCTAAATTGAAAACACAAAAGACAAAAGCAGAAGCTAAGAGGTTTTTACATAAACAGGGAGGATATTCTCAAGCATCCTTATTGTAGGATTAGGAAAACAGTAAAGAGGTAGGCAAAGGAGAAAGTAACCCATTTATTCTACAACAGCCTCTATGTGTGCTGTAAGAGCATTTGCATTTCTGAAGTAAGCAAAGATTATCTGAGAGCACTTCAAAACCATGAGTGACCTACACATCATACACAGCGGCCCCTTTCTGTGCAGGGGGAACTGAGTCAGAGGCAGTGTATGCTCAAAGCCTATTACGGTCACTAAACTTCACAAACCTTCAGGGAGAGCAGTGCATAGCATGGAATAAAGATAAAACCCTGTAGTAGTCACCACTGTAAAATTTTGTCAGGGGCTTTGTTTGCAATGACTGAATGGCCTTGGGGCAAAGAAAGGCAACATGTCCTAGTGGAGTGACAGCTAGACCAGAAACTCTAGTGTAATCTCAGTTCTACCCCCAATTCCCTCTTTGGCCTTGGGCAAACAACACTCATTACTTCTGTTATTCAGATACCAGAATACCTCAAGAGGCTATTGAAAAGATTGGCTAATATTCAAGAGCCTCGTAGATAAAGAGCACTACACAAGTAACTTTTATGGTACAATGATGTCTGGAGTGGCTCAGTGCCTAAGCACTGTGGAGCTTTTGCTAACTTGGTATGCAGGAAGTTTGTTTCCTCTTGGATCATCTGCAGGATAACTGAGTTTTTCTTTCTTCACTAAGACAAAAGGCATGCTTTCAATTAGCACTCCTGGGAAAAGACAATCTGTAATTATAATGAAAGCTGACAAATCAACCTAAAGACTAAATGAGCCTAGTCCTGGGGTCAGTTTTATGGCAGAGGACAAGTTAAAACTGCAGACTGCCTTGTCAGCAGGAATTTTACCTTCAAGATGAATGCCATGTTCAGTCAATGCATTTCAGAACCTTTTTAAGGTTAGTCAGAATCTGGAAGCTGAAAACAGGGTCTGAAAAAACATTTCTATTGCCTACTTACAGGTATTTCAGGTTCCAACACGCCTATCTCTAGTATTCACTAAAGTGAACAAGGACCAGTATTTCCTCTTTCAGTAAGTTTCAGAAATAGCATGTTAAATTCTAGGGATAAAATGTAACAACCTGAACAATTTATCTCACAGAGCAGTAACAGTGTTGGGAGTAATAGGAGAGCAAAGAAGGAACCTGTAAACATTCCTTAGCCTATGGAAAGCAGAGATCCTGAAAAACAAGAAAACTGAAGAAGTCTCATTCATAAAAGGAGGATATCAGCCCTAAAGCAAGATACTCAACAAAAGACTGTGATGGTTGCAGAAGATGCAACTATCTATGTGTACAAAAATGAAGATTGGACCCCTCAGTATGAGATTTAGAGATCGCTGGTTAAAAGAACTTCTCCCCTGTTTCCCCCTACCCTGACTGTACGAGCAGTGCCACTTGTTTATCTGTTAATAAGGGATAAACATATATATTTCCCCCCTTAAGTGTATATATATAAGGTGTGCATCTATTTTAGTGTATTAACACAAACACATACAAAAAAGAGATGAAAAGAAAACAGAGAAAAAAGTGTTATCTTATTTATACAACACCTTTCCATCAGCAGGAACACCCAACTCTTCAGACAACTGGGGATGAATAATCCACTTGTAAGCTTCTTTCAGCTGAACAATGTCATCCTTCACCAAGGAAAGGCCCAGATTTCTGAATAACAAAGAAATAATAACTTGCACAGGGGTTTGTGAAACATAGATACATGACACATACATTTCAAGTCAAACTTAAGTAACTAGTGCCAGGTAAACAAGTGATGCACAAATAAAAATGGACTAAAGCACTAAGCATACATACCATGGCATGAAAGAATGAAAGGCTGTTCCAGAAACTCTGTAACACCATTAAATCTTTGTACTGAAGTAACAAATAAAGTGTTAAGGAAACATTATGGCCAGACCACGGTTCCATGTATGACAGTAACACATAAAACTCTGGCAGGGAGTAGCTAAAGGTGTAGCTAACATCAGCTTAAACTCAAAGACTGTTTCCTCCTTCCTGCCAGACTTGGATGATGATGCTACACAGCATGGTAAGTAATACCAGTCCATTGATCCCACTGAAAGCAAACCCTAATCCACCAAAAAACATTCTTCTCAGCCAGATTAGTGAGATGATCAGCTCTCCCAGTGGTCACATAAACATTTCTGCTAACACAAGAAAGACAGAAGGTACATGCAGATGGAGGCAAGAGCCTTCTGATAGTAAATCAACATCTAGTTCAGCATAAGTAAACTGAGTATCTGGATCCTGCAGGGCAACACTGGTGCTGCTTGCCTCCTGTCCAGCTTCCAGCCTAAGTAGTGTCTTATTCTGCCCTTTTTCTATTTACCAGTGGATTTTTCACTAACATTTAAATATAGACTCTTTTTTGTTAAGTGTAAGAGAATGTCTGCTGAGGAAACCCATGCTATAGCTCCATGGTCAATCAAAAGTTGCAAGTCTTTCCAGAGACTACCTGGAGAAGAGCTGAGAAAGAGATGTACAAAAATCCTTTGTTTAAAGGATTTAAACAGGTACAGGACTAGGCCTCAACTATTCTTTGCCTACGGAGAGAGAAGTTAAAAGGAGTAGATGCTTGTAAGGATGCCAGCATATGACTTCAAACCACTTGTTTGGGAACTTACAGAGCAAAGCTCATGTCCTCCTATACAGATGGCACCAATAATAAGCTATGTGGCCAATGTTTGCCCTACAGGGCCTCATCCTCTCTCAAGCACTTTAATGAAACAATTGCTTTCAAATTAGTTTCAAAGTAGGAAGTGATTCATCATCGTTTAATCTGGCTTTCAATGAATATCTAGAAATGGTACTTCCAGCCAACATGAATTCCACCAAAGACTACTCCAGTATCTAACTTTGAGACAAGTGTATTTCTTTCTTCTTGCCTGCAAAGACAACTGATCTGTTCAAAAGGGCTCTAATATGTTCTCATTTGGCCAGGAGTAGGCATGTCCTGGAGCAGACAAAGAATCAAATGTTTAAATTTATTTCAGAACCCTGAGGTATAAAAGAGATGAGTCAAAACTAACTTGCACCCAGTGCACTAACGTCTTTCTTGCTACACTATTCATTTTTCACTATTATCAGACAATTTTCATTCACTATTAATGTAAGCTAAACCTGATATGGTGGCAAAATGAAGAGGTCTGTATTTCACTGTCTTCGTGCACAAGATTCTGGCTCATGGCATCATGGCACCTCTCAGGACCATTAAGTTAGTGCAAAGCTGTACAGTTGGACAGACAACCTATACTCCCAGTTGAAATGCCATGGCCTCATAACCACACTATGAGGCAAAAGAGATAAGAATTTCTAAATAAGGTCAAACCAATTTCAGAAAAACCTAAAATAACACAAAACAACCAAAACCCACCAAACAAAAAGCAGGTGCCATTTTATCCTTTGTAAACAACAAGCAAACTGGACAAGACTTCTCTGCTCATCATTTATATAGACAAATAGTGTCTACACAAAAGAGTTCTCATCAGACAGACAGCAAAAGCTATGGACAATAAAAAGTTAAAATAATAATAATAATGAGAAGCCAAACAAATAAAATGACAGCATATCCCAATTCTGATTTTCCTTATGGTTAGTTTTGAAGATACTAAGTAAGTTAAAATCATGGCCAAGCACATAGGAAGTGAGTCTATATATTCCACAACTGTTAGCAAAAGTACCCTTACATGAAAGCAACTGTCTTGACCTCAAAAATAAGGCTCTAATTGCTTGGTTAAAATTTTCTCTTAACATACATGTCTCAGCAGATCCACTGCATTAAGTGGTTTCTCATTTCTACTCTGCTGGAAAAAAAGTTACAGGAAGAGTATCTCTCCTTTCTCTAAATGTGGAGAACTCTCTAATAGAAGTGGTATGAGGGCTGCCAAAAGACATTACTCACCTCATTTCCTGTTTTAACACCAGCCAAGCAGCACGCTATAGGTCACCAGCCATGCCCAGGAAGAAGAGAGGGGGAGAGAAACACCAAAAGCAAGTGAAATTAAGGCTCAAAACTCCCAACAACTGTGAGGCTGTTGGAAGGAAAAACACTTTAAAAAACCTCAGGTCAAAAAGGAAGTATTAGGATTTTAATTTAACTTTTGCTTTAGAAGTGGAAAGACAGAATTGGTGTTTGTAAGAAATTACTTTGCAGTTCACCTCAAATCCTACCTGGCTTTAAAAAAGAAAGATCAGGCTACACTGAACATACTTTGAAAGCTGCTATTAACACTATAACCAGCAAAAGACACCAACAGCCTAAGTCAGGAGCAACTAGCTGTTATCAAAGTCAGAAGCAACCAGCAGTTATCTACCACACAGAGAAATGAGGAGTAAAAGAGAAGTGTCTCAATGTATGAAACTGATCTGACATATAAAGAAAAAATAAATTCAGTTATCATCCATTATAAAAAACATGAAATAAAAGACATACTTGGTCTCATGGTAATCACAAACCCTTTCCCTGAGGATTGCCCTCTTATTTAAAGCACACCACCTAGTTCAGGAGACAGAGGCTGAATATGAGAAAGCTGAAGAACAGAAGGAATGATTCTAGAGGTCAGAGGGAGCTTTTAGTACAAACGCTGGATTTCACTAACAATTTTTAACCACACAGAATAGGTAGGAATGGCTGGAAGACGTAATCGTCCTCAATCTGGGCATTGCAAATACTTCCTCAAACTCTACTCCTCTCCTCTAGCAGCCTTATATATGTAAAGAAATATAATGTAGCAGGTCCCTTAGATGCAGCACTGCCCAGGAAAGCAGACCATGAGCCATAACTCAGGTGTCCCAGCCAACAAATGGAACTCAGCAGTATCACAATTAACAATGGTTATAACAAAGGGCAAAAGCAGACTTAAAATTGCCAGTGGTATGAAAGGACAATAGAAAAACACAAAAGTAAGCACAAAGGAGCAACAGCCCTCGAAGCAGTGCAACACCAATAGACCGGGGCAAATTCAAAAAACATCAAGAAATCAAAAGACTTCCAAACATTCCAAATATTGCTTATGCTGAAAGCTTCTCAAAGCATCTTTCCCAAACTCTGCTCTGGGAGCCAAAGATTTGAGAGGCGCATCTCTTTGCAGCCTCATTCACTTCTCTTTGTACTGACGCATTGATTCTACAAGTCATCTATCATTTCATTGTAGTAATTGCTCAGCACTTTAGGCTTTAGATTTTGCCTCTGTGTGGGCCAAGGGTGACTGCCGTTCTCTGCAACACAATGAAAATATACCTTACTAAACTGAAGTGCATTACAGTTCACCAGAATTTTCTATTAGGTCTTTAATTAAGTGGAAAAAAAATGATGTGGACACAGGTATTCAGAAGACCTGTACAATGTTTCCATTTCAACTGAGTGCCTATCAGTGCAAAAACAATTAATAAGAAGAGAGAAACTCCCCTCAAACTTCCTACAGCAAAGCAACAACATTTTCAGTTCTTCCTTTACTAATAATAGCAAAATAACACATGAAGACTGGCAGAATAACCTCTTACTAATAGAATCTGTACTGTCAATACACAGTCTGGACATCTAGTCTCACCAGCCTCACTGGAGATGAAAAATAAGTTGTTTGGCTTGAAACAATTACAAAGACAAAAATCAGAATTAGTAGTTTTCAATCTGTGGACTGTAGACTACTAGCAGAGTGTCAGAGAAAGGAGACTCCATACACCTGTCATACAATCATAGATACATACAAAATATCCAAAAGAGTTGGTATTTCAAAAGCAGTGAACAACACCCATTTCAATTCTCCATAAGTTTAAATCTCTCCCTGTCTTTTTTCAGATACAGTGCTTTAAGAGTAACTTCCCCCCAGACCCTGCTGAAAGAATTACCGTCTATTGCCAAGGAAATAGTTCCAATGCAGAGGTTTGAAAACATGTATCAAAATTTAAGGAGCAGAGCCAGGATCACAACATCTTTTCATTGATATCAGAAGGAACCACATCATAGATTTCTTTTACATATAGAATCATAGAATAGTTAGGGTTGGAAAGGACCTTAAGATCATCAAGTTCCAACCCCCCTGCCATGGGTAGGGACACCTCGAACTAAACCATATTACCCAAGGCCTCATCCAACCTGGCCTTGAACACTGCCAGGGATGGAGCATTCACAACCTCCCTGGGCAACCCATTCCAGTGCCTCACCACCCTAACAGGAAAGAATTTCCTCCTTATATCCAATCTAAACTCCCCCTGTTTAACTCAATCAAAAAAACCCCACAGGTCTATTATCCTTCCTTTGGTACATCTAATAGAATGAGGGAATCCTAAAAACAATGCTAGAAATATTAAGGGGAAAGAGGGATGGTGGAGAGAGGACACAAACTTTGTTAGATACACACTACACCAAACTACACACTACTGAATAAAATAAATATCCTTGTATTGGTGGAATGCTGTTTACTCAAATTCACTGTGATTCATTACCCTGCATATGCAGACAGTATGAGTAAGACCGCTGCACAAAACACCATGAAGTATACTGTAATCTTGTTTGCATAATAACCCAGATAAAATCATAAATAAAAAGAGTTTCCAATTGGAATTCCTTGAACATAATTTTGAAGTAGAGAATACAACAACCATAGAACCGGGTCTAGAAATACGCACTTGACAAATGCCAATTTAAAACATCTCCTATGCCTTAATTTAAAGCATATGTAGGTTTGGTATTCAATCAAGTGGATAACCTCACTTCTTCCCCCCGTTTTATGGGGTACAATCACAAAACAAAGAAAACTGCATGTAAGTAGTTCTGCTAAAATGAGACCACAGGTCAGATTTCATCTCCTCTGTCTTGACTTCAAAATTGAAAGCCAATTAAAGATACTACTTTTCCCCTTCAATTAGGAGTGAACAATGGATTGGGATACTGTGAGCACAGAAGACAAAAGATCCCAAATTCCAAATGACATTCAAGCACCAAGCCAGCCAAAGCCCTCTACTCTCTCCCAGCTGTATGTGAAACAGGGGATCAGATCCCTCTACTTCGTAATTTATGTTTGTGAAGTGGTTTGGAAATGAAAAATGCTCATTACAGAGCTCAAGCCTGCAGGGCAATGCTTAACAGCACATATATTTCTGAAATACACTAGCTTAGGCATTATATTGATTACAAGCTGCAGGATATTATTCTAATGCTATCTGAGGGATCACAGTGGCAACAGTTGAAATACCATGTGCAATCCCAGCCACAGCATTTTTTCACTGTATTAGAAAAGAGCTTCAAGATGGGGAATTCCATGATGAGGTATACCCAGTCCTACAGGGAGTAATGACTACAGATGCTATTTGCATCAATGTCCTTGTAGCAAGAACCAGGATGATGGATCACGACTGAGACCACAGAGAGAGTTAACAGTCACCCTTTTGAAGGGCATGACTCACTTCAGATTCTAATATAGTTGTCTGACATAAACTTGGGACTCCTGTATTTATGATTTATTTTAATCAAATATCCTACTTGTGGAAAGAGGTGATAGCTTCTCTGCATTACAGATACAAATACTATGCAAATGTAAATTTTATGTCCCACTCTTCTTCAGCTCTGATCATACATTTTTGACTTGGCAGGATGACAACTGTCTAAATTAATTGAAGGCAATATTAAAAGGCAGTTTCTGGGGTTTTTGGTTAAAAAAAAGTCAGAGAAAATTGTGTGTCACGCAAAAGGTCAGTGGGAGGGGGGCTGTCTTTGGGGTGTCCTTTTGTGATAAAATTACACATGTTCTTGTAAAGTGCAGTTCCAAGAATTAAAAGCAGAATTTAACAAAAGACCTCTTTTCAACGCAAAGCACTTTGAGATATTTGAGATGTTTTGACATATCACTTGCTTTTCTATAATCATAAAACAGGAACTGTTTTTACCATTTTTTTTTTCAAGTGATAGGCAGTAAATAAAATCCCATGGTTTTAAAGAGATTCTTTCCCCACCACCGCCCATTTTCACCACTTCAGTTAGAGCACAGCTACACAAACAGCTGGTTTAGCATTTGACAAGACTGAAGGTACGGAATAGAAGGGACAGCAGGAACTTCCTAATGCAGACCTGCTCCCAGACAAACCAGAACCGTTTACAAAGAGAACAGAACTGGTTTTGGATCTTCCTACTCATTCATCTCACTTCACCTATTCATTTCTGGACATCACAACTTTTATTGCCTTGATTGTATCAAGTACTGTAGCATTGTTTGAACATAAAGACAAGATAGCTTAAATGAAGCAGATGGACAGGTTAAAAATTACACCTCATCCTTTTTATCAAACTAAGAATTTATTGCACTTACAAGACAAAGTTGCTATAAAGTAATAAATCTGGGTATCTATCAACTGCATCTGCCAATCTAGTTTTGCCAGTCCACACAGTCTCAGCATATCACTAACAGCTAGATGAACTCTCTGAAGCAAACTATTACTTTTTGCTTCCATTTACAGCTAAGGCTGACTCAGAAGCCGGCAGAAACACTCGCCCTGCTTGTTCACGTTAGTCTGAGAACATCACAGGGCTAGAAAAGCAGTGCACTAACACCCTCTACCGAGGCATTCTGGCAAAGACCCACAAGGAGGGTGAGGAAAACCAGCAGTATCAAATCTTCCTTTCCTTGTCTTACCATTATATGGCTAGGTTATGCAAAAAAAGAATAAAAGAAATTTATTTTTAAGCTAGATAACCTATAGCTGTCGAGTTAAAGATGCATAATGGAAAAGTATTAAGAACTTGACACCATGGGAATTGCAGCTGGGAATTGAGCCAAAAGATTCTGTGCCTCACTTTGGTTTTTGTTCATTGAAGCTATAATGAATAGCATAAGGAAGGCAAGTCTCAGTAACGACTAGTAGAGGGAGACTGGAAATGGAAAAGACCTGATTTATAATACCCCAGAAATAAAAAAGCTCCTCTTTATTTAAACACCTAAGCTTACACTGAGCATAAAGGTGGAGTAAGTTTGACCCTCAGTTGGGAGTTTTACAGAGCACTGCAGGCACACATGCATGCATCCACATACCTGCCTATCCAGAAAGGGCTTTTCAGATTATCCCATTTTTTGGATAACCACAAAATCCAATGGGAATAAGGGCAGTTCATCCAGCCATAAAGCACAATTGTTCCTGCTATTATTTTACCAGACACAGCAGCAGCTCAAGCAAACACACTGTGCTTAATTTCAGATGGGAAGTAGAGAATCTTATGTTCAGAAAGACTTAGAGTATATGTTAGCAAAATGCAGCCATGACACCGCCCGAGGTGCTAGAACTAACAGTACAAATCAACACTAGAAGTGTAGCAGATTATTTAACAATCAAACCATTTGGGATGAGAATTGATTTAATCACAGGTTTATATATAAATCCAAGACCACCTCCATTTCTTTCTGCCATGTTTGCTGAAGTTCCTGCTATATCTTACCACAGCAGGCAAGGGTGTACGTGTTGCCCTTTAGAATAGGTTTTGCATCAGTTCATATCAGAAAGCAGAGGAACATCATGAAATGTCTCCCAACTAAGCAAAAATTGGTCAAGTTATATTATACTTAGTATTTTCCCTCTATTTTTAAAAAATAAATTACCAGGGTTATTCACTCCTCCATATTATCATTGGCCTCTGTAACTGAATGACTGAAATGTAAACCATTTGATTAATATTGTCACCAAAATCAGTAGTTTTACAACTGCCACAAACTTCAGTTTTACAAATCTAGACTTTTAACAATGCCCGAGACAGGTGACTATTAAAATGTGCACTTTCACAACATTTCAAATGCTGAACAGTTAAAGAGTCCATCCTCAAATTCCTTCATTTGTATTCTGCACTACCAATTATCGTCTATTTCAGGAAAGGCACCAGCTGTGCACTTCCTTCTCCAGGAAGATCCACAAAGCAGAGCCAGCATCTGTACCAAAGGGAACAATACACCAAGGGCTTCAAGAAACTCCTTTTGGATTTTCAGCTGTAAAGTAACTCCTGGGCTAACTGAAAACTGAAGCGACTCAGGCACTTTCTTAATTAAAATAAGACTCACCAACAAGGAAAGGGAGAGCAGGCTTCACTTCTAGCATGTGTTTTTGGCTTTTTTTAAACAATAGCAATTAAAAATCAAACCACCTCCAGCTTGTACATTCCATAGTTACTATCTTTAATATGTATTTAAGTTATGAAGAAATAGCTGTAAATACTTACCTCCCTAACAGACAGCTGTGGGGGTAGTGACACAGAAAATACAAAACTAGTGAATTGGTAATCAGCAGAATTAACCTTTTGGCACACCTGCAACAGAAGGATTTGAATATTAAAGCACAGCAACGGACTGGAGTTGAGAAGCTTTTAGGATATTCTTTCTTCTACTGTAATCACTGTAAATCCATGTTAATACACATTCAGAGAGATGCTGAACACACAAACCAAAGTAATCCCTAACAACTTATTGAAATAAAGGCTTTTTTGTTCTGCTAAAAGCAAGCAACTAATAAACTGTACCCTTATTGCTATGAAACAACTAGATCTGCTATTTTAAGACTAAGACTGATTGTATACCAAAATCTTAGTGCGGTGAATTACACCACAGTGACCAAAGGCTGAAACAGCTGGCTCAGAAATGCCTTTCTTCATGGCAGAGACACAATTCTATGACAATAAATGTTTAAGATCCTGGGATAAGAAAAAACCAAACACTTATCTACAGGATTAATTCATAATCTTTCTTCATTGTAAAAAAATGGTGTTTGTCACTGGAAATAAAGTAAGAACCCAAAACATTTGAAAGCAGGGTGGTAAGAGCTGATGAGTAGACGTCCCTAACAGAAGTAAGCTCAAACACACATGGAGAAGTCTTCTAAAATAGCAGTGATTTAGTGAATGTTAAAGATGAATTCTGAGCTTTTGAGGTGAATTCAAAATCTGAGATAAGGGAATTTCCTTATGAAATAATCACTTTTTGTGATGCCATAGCAAAAGCTGTCAGATTTTCCACTGCTACTCAAGAGTTAAATCTGAAGTAAGTCTTAGAAGTGGATTCTGTAAAAATACATATAATCTACCAACAGAAACAAAAACGAAACATCATGCACTGCAGAAACAAAAACTATATACTGTACTTTCTGTTTAGTCCCCTTTTTAGATACATTCATGCTATTAAACCAAATTATTTTCTATTAAAACTGTTAAACATAAATGTGATTTTTCCGGCTGATATTTCAGTTTGTCACATAAGCAATTTTATGGCTCAAAGATGATGTTCGCAACACTCATTATGCCCATATTCTCTCCTAGCTCATATTTTCTCCAACAACTACAAATCTGTTGTATCGCCAACACATTTTCTTTCTCTGTGACTTTCTTAATAGTAGCACATTGTAAAGACAGACTTGTGCTGTATTAGGAACGTGTAGTTAAACTGAAGCAGTTGACGCCTCCTCATTTTCCCTACACATAGAAAACGTGAAGGGAGGTCATAATTTACAGTGTGGTTTTCCTTGTAATCTAAGCAGCTGAACCTCAGATTATCTCCTCAATTCATGTAACCACGTATCTGTTAGTCCTTCCCTTAGGAAAACGTGCTCCTAGCAGTGATTCCATTGCACTCACACTGCTGTTTTTTTTAACAAGTTACATTATTATAAGCCCTGGGTAAAATATGGTCACACCAACAGTTTCTTCCCCAGCTACACAGGAGGTGTGCAAACACTGTCAGTGAGCAGTATGTAGCTGAATGGTGCCATCTACATTTCAAATATTCAAAATAGGTATTGCAGTTGCTTTTCTGCTATCTTTCTTTCAATTGTTTAACTGTGTGGTGTTTTTATCACCAGCTCTACCCCTCAGGCTCCAGCATACACAAGCTCCAGGAAAAGTACACAGAAAGACTAAAACCAGGTATTTACCTTTTTAACAAAGTCAGCCTCACAGAACTCCTGAAGAATTCCCAAACACACATTGCAAACCTTCACAGCCGAATTCTCCACTGCAGTATTTTCATCATTAACCTGAGGAATCTGCTGGAGCGCTCCATTGTGGTTCAGATCCTCGGGCCCCTCTTCAGGGTGTTCAAGTCTGATTCTCTTACACGGGGGATCAACTACATAAAAACAAACTGTATCTTCTTTTTCTGGATCATTTTTCAGAAATTCTTTTAAAACCTTCATCAAATCCTAACACAAACAGAGGGATCACATTCTTGTTTTTGTCTCTTTTCTCCAATTCACATACAAACACAATTCCAAAAGGCAGTACTAACAGTACTAATTCTAGCTTAGCCTTAGTGTATGCAATTGACAACCTTGAATTTAGACCAAAAGACACCTACACAATTAAAAAGCTCCAAGCTGTATTTCTCTCAAAATGTTATCCAGAGAAATTGAATTTTGCTGAACAGATTTCTCTATCAACCAAGAGAAGTGTAAACATTTTACAGACATCACTTGCAGAAATGTATTTATCTTGGTCCCCATTGTTATTCAATGCAAATAGATGTTTATTGCCTTTTTGTCATTTAGATTATGTTAGAATCTGATTCCTCCACCTCCATTAGCCCAGATGAAAAGAGCTGGCTAGCATAGCATGAGAAGAAAATGAGAACAGGTACAGATGAAGGTGAAATTAAATACATAGAGAAAGAATTTCATATGAAGGGAGAAGCCTACAAAAATTAAAGGATGTGATGGTGAGGAGAGAGTATAATTAGCTGCATATCTCTGAATTTTAGGAAGGATGAGAGATAGAATCAAGACATAATTCAGAAAGATATATTAAAAAGTCTACTGTCTTGTTGCAACTCCAAGAAAAATCAGGTAGAGATGCAAAAGAATGAAGAATGGCATACAGAATGAACACTTCTCAAAAGACTGACAGAAAATGGAAAGGGATAAGGAAGACAGATGTTAAAATGAATTCTGGGAAGTCTAAACTTGACCAAAGGTGAAACAATCAAGACAGACACGAGAAGATGGAAGCATAAAGACAAGGGATTAGACCAAGTAGATGGAAATGTTTATTTGGCCTACAATAAGAGGTCTCAAGGAACCAACACAGAGGAGGAGGCAAAACTAAGTTGAGGAGTACCGACTACAAGAACAAAGGCAAGAAAGATTGTGCACAACTAGAAAAAATTTGAAGAACACTGAATTTCAGCATTAAGGGTCAACTAAAAAGGACACCTATTAACACTGTGTTTAACTGATTGAAAAGATTTATTCTGTGCTCCATAATTTTTCAGTTACAACCCCCTACCAATTCTACTGAAAGAAGAAGGAATTATCAGCTAAGTTTGGAGCTGACGGTTCCTCCTTTCCACCAGCTACATGGCCCACAGGCCCTTTACTATCTATTACCTTAAAGGAAAAAGAACAGAGGGAAGAGTTAATACATGCTCTGCTCTAAAAATGATGGAGCCACACTATGCCAAAGCTCACATGCCCTGTTTTCTGGTGGTTTTGAGGAATACACAGCAACTTTCACAGTCAAGGTTAACATTTAACCCACAACAATCACTATATTCCATGATTCTTCTGATTCCTCACAATTGCACAGCATAGTGGAAGTCCTTTTCCATAAGTCTTTTTACAAAGTGTTTTCCTCTCAGGGAAAGAGTCCAAGAAAACAACCAGCTTCTCCTTCAAGGTAGCATAGAGAACACTGGATTCATACGTTCACACGTTCTAATTAGAAACACAAAGAACAAACCTTGTATGGATGTCTATAAAGCACCTGTGATCCCACGCTGCAGAACCTTAAAACGCACCGTGGGCAAGTGCCAGCGTTCAGTAACAGCTGAACAATTGGTCTGTCCTTTTCTGTCAGGGAAGACATGCTGGAGAATTCTACAATTTAAAATACAAAAGAGAATAAAAAAGCTTGAATAAACACAATTTAGCAACTCAACAATGAAAGGACTCACTTAACTGCACCAGATTTAGAATCACTGGATTTTGTGTGTGCTCTAGAGGAAGTTTAGGATACCTGTTTCTCTTAAATCTAAGGCATAACAGAATTAGAAGGCCAACCCAAAAAGACCACTGACTCAGGGAAAAGCTTCTATACTTCCTATAAGAACCTGAAGTCAGTGTTCTGACAAAGCTGTGCTGAGCTTTTGCCATTGGTTTTCTAATAACGTGCACTACATGACATGGTGTTAGTTACTGAATGAAGAAGGAGGGTGGAGCTAAGACATATTAACACCAATGTAAAATGGAAATTCCTTCCAAACTGCAGCAACTAAAGAATCAGTATGTTAAAATCACAGGGAATAAAAAAGCCCCAAATATATGCCACCACCTTTGGTCATACAAAGCCCCAAAGCCAAAGGAAGACTTTCCTATCCTTCAGACACTTCAATTTTGAAAGACTCTTATTTCTCATCTCAAATATAGGACTCCTGCTTTTGTGAGAGATCTCATAATGCTTTTATTTCCTACAAGAAGATGGCTATTTTGCCTTCCTGTCATTCTATTGGCCCAGAACTTTAGAACAGACTAATTTCTTTGACCAAAATTTAATAATGGGCTAGATCCGTGAACTTTGAAAGTTATTGAAAAACAGACATTCCCAGTGAGGTGCTCACCCTTCCTGGGTATTGAGGAAACTTCAGGAGGCAATAAGATAACCACAGTTGTTCGGACCAAAGAATCAGTCTACTGTCACCCAAAGCAGGGATAAACAGATGCCACAGGAAGATCTGTGTGCACAGGACACATGCCTCTGCTAAGAGTTCTCTGCCTCCAGTTACTGCTGGTGTGGGGGATTCCTCTGCCCTAGCAGGCTTTGCCTGTTGGTAAACCTGAACAGCACTTTCCTTCGACCCTTCAGTGTCTCTCTGAAATCGTTTTGCTTCTAAATCCTTTGTCAAGGAATTCCACAATGCCAACCGACAGGCAAACCACCCGATTTCATTTAGGGGCTTAGCTCCTGTGAGGAACACTTGATGTGTCTCCCTGTTGGATGCTTTTGTATTGCAAGTGCTGGTGTAGAGGCAGGATATACTGCTGCCCTCCACACTAGCACAACCTGTTACACCTCTGATGTTCTGTCCTACTCAGGAGTGCCTTTTGTGCCGAAATAGCCATGGAAAACCTACACAGCATGGGAAAAGTTAATAACTCAATTAATTTAGCTTCTCCTGGATTTGGATTCTTCATGGTAAGCTGTAGAAAACAAAGACTATCTAGAAAAGTTCAAACTTGCTTTTAAGAAAGAAAAAATTATACTTTTAGGTAACTTAGCTCGATTCTGCTTGACAAGACTTGAATTATTCATTGTTTAATATTTAACACAACTGTGCTTCACGCTACGAAAAAATTAAGCAAGGAAGCGCCGTAAGAAACCTTTCCCCTCCACGAGGATTTAATGCTGGCGCCGAACGCCCGCAGCCCGGCAGAGACAACAGGTACCGGTAGCCACTGATCCGCTTTCCCCGCCGACACAAATCACCCCGCAGTCCCCCACCCGCTATCGCGACATTAGCTGCGATAGCGACCAGGCCAGCCCTGAGCGGCCCAGCTGCGAGAAGCACCCCCGCTCCCGGCCCGGGACCTCAGGTCTCGGTGAGGGGACCCCATAACCCCACACACACACATGCGCGCCCCCGACCGTCAGAACCATTACAGCCCCCCAGCACGGGTTGAACCGAGGGGATAAGGGGGTGAATGGGGACCTCTCATCACAGGGCCCCCCTCCCGCAGGAGGCCGGAGGCGCCGCAGATGGGCTCCAGGCAGCTGCCAACCCGCGCCCCGCTCCGCCCGGCTCCCCGGGAGCAGCGATCACCTCACGGCTCCCCTCGCTCCGTACGGGGCCTCGCCCCCCCACCCCGTCGCGCCACAGGCTTTTGCAGCCGCAAGGCAGAGCGCATCGATGAGCCGGCGCCGAGGGAAAGCCGTGCCACGGAACAGTGGCTGGTGAATAGCTCGGCGCTTCCGCATCGTGCCTGGCAGTGGGCGGGCGGCGGAGCGCGGCGGGCCGGGCCGAGCCGGGCCGAGCCGAGCCGAGCCGAACCGGGGGTAGAGCGGGGCCCGCAGGCGGGCAGAGATGGCGTCGCAGCCGCCGCCGAAGCCATGGGAGACCCGGCGGCTGGCGGGAGCCGTGGCGCCGGCCTTCCAGTGAGTGCGTGCGCCGGGTGTGCGCGGCCTGTGGCGGGGCTGGGTGCTCCCCCCTCAGGGCGGCTGCTTGCGCCTTCACCTCCTCGGGCCTCCCGCCTTGGCCTTATGCCCTGAGGCGAGCTCAAAGGTCGGGCCCAGCCGGGCTGGGCCTCCGGTTGGGCTGAGCTTGAGGTGGGGTCGGTTTGGGCGGCCCTGGGGAAGGGGGGGTGATCTGTTGGGGTGTTTTGGGGTCGCTTATCCCGTTGTATGCCCGCTGGGGAGGGGTCTGTGGTGAATCGCGGTTCTTGGTAGGGAGAGGGAGCCGGGCACTGCTGTGCAGCCCTGCTTGTGTCTGTAGGAAGCTGCGTATTTAATGTGGCGAAGGAAAAGCTTCATTATTGCCATGAGTGGGTAGTTGGTACGAGTGCAGGGTGCTACACCTGGGGTAGTTGCAGGCACAGCTACAGATTGGGAGGAGTGATCCAGAGCAGCCCTGAGGAGGGCTGGAGGGCTTTGGCAGACAAGAAACTCAACCTGAGCCAGCTCCAGTATGCGCTTGCAGCCCACAGAGCCCAACCGTATCCTGGGCTGCATCAAAAGGAGTGTGACCAGCAGGTCGAAGGAGGTGATCCTGCCCCTCTGCTCTGCTCTCATGAGACCTTACCTGGAGTATTGTGTGCAGTTCTGGTGTCCTCAACATAAAAAGGACATGGAACTATTGAAACAAGTCCAGAGGAGGCCACGAGGATGATCAGAGGACTGGAGCACCTCCTGTATGAAGATAGGCTAAGAAAGTTGGGGCTGTTCAGCTGCATGGAGACCTCAGAGCAGCTTCCAGTATCTGAAAGGGGCCTGTAGGGATACTGGGGAGGGACTCTTTGTCAGGGATTGTAGTGATAGGACAAGGGGTAATGGGTTAAAACTTAAACAATGGAAGTTCAGGTTAGATCTAAGGCAGAAGCTCTTCCCTGTGAGGGTGCTGAGGCACTGGCACAGGGTGCCCAGAGAAGCTGTGGCTGCCCCATCCCTGGCAGTGTTCAAGGCCAGGTTGGATGGGGCTTGGAGCAAGCTGCTCTAGTGGAAGGTGTCCCTTCCTGTGGCAGGGGTTTGGAACTGATCTTAAGTTTCTTTCCAACTCAAACCACCCTGTGATTTATGATAGAGTGTGGGTGTGCATTGCTGGGAAGTGTACAGCTGTGTGAGCATGTGTGCCTCTGTAGGAATGGAGAAGCTGTGTGTCAACCTCAGGAGTTGGAAAAGATGTGTGTATATGTTTGTCTCCAGTGTGTTCACCCAGGAATCTGAGCTCTTCCAGAAAATCCACCCTGCTCATGGAGAAGGATGTTGTACAGAAAGTGTTTGTAAACTCCTTTTTAATTAGAAATCAAGGAAAGCTTGTTTACCTTGGGTTTTTTTATTTGGTGCTGGCGATTGCAATTAGAGTGAGCTGAAACCAGGCAAAAGGTTGGTCCAAGACTAAATATTCAATAGCAGCTTTGCTTTTGCTGCAAGCTGAAGCTTGTTGAGCAAGAAATTTGAAGTTAATTTTTCTTGGGGAGGTTATCTACCTCATTTTAAATCAATTCAAGCAGCTTTAAAGTGAGGTGTTCTAAGTTAACTGGTGGGGAGGGGAATGAGGTGTGACTTAAGGTGTAGTACCTTTGTTTTCTGTGATAATAATTTACTTTTGCTTCTGTTTTTTAACTGTTAACAGAGTTAAAATCTATGATGGGGAAAAAAACAAGCAGTATAAAGTTATAAATATTATTCTTTACTGTGGAAACCTGTTAAATTTTACTGAGAAGTTGAATAGAAAGGGATAAAAGTTTACTAAATTAAAAACAGTTAAGTGACTCATAATACCTCTTTCTGCCAACAGTTAGCAGTAATAGATTCAATCCCTTGACATGCTACATAAAGGTAATTAGACAGTTTAGGGAGAGGGGAAAACTGGGGAACCAAAGCCCTTGTATATGTTGTATAATTACTGAGATCCTCAATTAAGTCACACCACCCTTTTCTCTAAGGGTGATTCAAAGGAGCTCTCAAACTTCTTTCCTGCTGTATCACTGGTTCATTGTATAGAAGAGCTGACAACAAGTATTGGAAATGCAATTGAAATTTTCAATTCAGATTGAAAGGTTTGTAAATATTCTTGGGAGTGCACGTGAAAAGGTTTTATGTGCAGAAAAATTACCTGGGTGTTACAGCATGGGGTTTGATGAATCTGGATATAACATTTCATGCTTTCTTAGTCAATACAATAAATAGACTGAAAGTTTCTCCACGTGTCCATTTCAGATATGCTGTGGTTAAACATTTACACTGAATATCTTATGTTGTTTTTTTTATTCCTTGAAGACCTGTATTTCCTGACAGGAATTTCTACTTCCCACAAACATTGTGCAATGTGCTGAGTGTTTGCCTACCAGATTCCCTATCCTAGCACTACTGAGATTTAGATAGTTATATGCTCTAATATTTATATTGTTATAAAGTGTATATACCTTCATATTTATATAGTTAGCCAAGAACTCTGGAGGAAAGGAAACTCTAAACTTATTTTGAGTACTGATCTTGTTTGTCTGAATCTGTTTAGATCTGCTGACTTGGGTGACAACCTGCCGACCAGACCTGGACCACCCACAGTTGCCCGAATACCTCCACCTATTTTGCCAAGACCATCACAGCAAACGGGCAGCAGTAGTCTGAACACTTTCAGGCCAGCATATAGTAGTTCTTTTTCTCCAGGCTATGGTTCATATGGAACCTCTTTTTATGGAAACTATAGTCCTTACAGTTATGGATATGGTGGTTTGGGTTATAACCGCTTTCGTGCAGATGATATTCCTCCCAGCAGGTTTGTTCAGCAGGCTGAAGAAAGCAGCAGAGGTGCATTTCAGTCCATTGAAAGTATTGTGCATGCCTTTGCCTCGGTCAGCATGATGATGGATGCTACCTTTTCAGCTGTATACAACAGTTTCAGAGCTGTGTTGGATGTAGCCAATCACTTCTCCCGCCTCAAAGTACACTTCACAAAGGTTTTTTCAGCTTTTGCTTTAGTGAGAACTATAAAGTATCTCTACCAACGCCTTCAGAGATTACTAGGTCTGCGGAAGAGCTCTGAGAATGAGGATCTGTGGGCTGAAAGTGAGGGGACTGTGGCTCGTGTTGGCCTTGAAGACAAGGCGGCTAACTCTGCAAAATCCTGGCCTATTTTCTTGTTCTTTGCGGTTATAATGGGAGGTCCCTATCTCATTTGGAAACTGCTTTCTACTTACAGTGATGAAGAAACAGGTAAAGATCTGCAGCACAAGCGAATTGTGTCATATACTGTTCTTTTCGTTAGCATGTGCATAGTGATAAATCTTACACTACAATAATAGAAGTTAATAGGTACTGGGATACAATACACATTTTAGGCATGTGGTGCAAGTAACAGCCAATAGTAGCCTGTTGTTGAGTTAGGTTGCAGTTTCATGGTAAGCTTTTTGTGTGATTCTAAAGTCATGGTTCCTTTCTGTTTCCTTTCCATTACATGTAGCAGTTGGGGAGGGAAAGTATTGGTTGGATTGACTCAACAAATCATGCTTTGTTACTTCTGTCAGTTCACCATTGGAAACATTTTAGCAAGGAAGTTAAAGTGTTTCCTTAATTTTCCTTCTAAAAAAATACCAAACTCTATAATTCACAGCACGTAAACTTTTAATTTCTTTTTGAAACAGGATCTAGTAATTGGGCGAGTGGAGAAGATGACCATGTAGTTGGAAGAGCAGAATATGACTTCAATGCTCTCTCAGAAGAAGAAATTTCTTTCCGTGCTGGTGACATGCTAAAATTAGCACCCAAAGGTAAATTTTAAATTGAGTTTATTTTCTAATCACATGTGAAATCATATTGTTAGAGCCTGAAAATGTTAAAACCCACCACTTTATTTGACTGAACTCATCCATACTGATTTCTCCCTCTCCGTAAGTTATTATTTGCACTGTAATTAAACTTCTTGAGCATCTTCAGATAGAATACAGCTTGAAGTTACACAGAGTGCTTTGAGGTTACCCTTGTGGTTACCTTCTCCTCACATGTGCTGCACAACTGTGAAAATCCCTAGAAATTTGCACTAAAGCAGTGCCATTGATTTCAGAACAAGCTGCACTTCACAGTACTCTGTAGCTCACCTCCTCATTGCAGATCCTGGTATTGTGCAGTAATTTGTATTCACCTTTTATCACAGAGTTGTTTTCTCTCCATGAAGAGCTCTTGTGTTATCTACCTTCTACTTCAGTGCCTCAACTGCAGTATATTTTGAATTGTTTTGTAACTTTGTGCATTTGCATTTTCCTCTTCAGAACAACAACCCAAAATCCGTGGTTGGCTTTTGGCTAGTTACGATGGCCAAACAACAGGACTTGTGCCAGCTAATTACATCAAAATCCTGGGCAAAAGAAGAGGTAGGAAAACAGTGGACCTGGAAAGGATTACAGAACAACGGCAAGCGTTTCCCAGCACATCAGTTAGAGGATCCACTGCTACTGTGACTTTAGAGGAGCAGGAAGCTGCTTTTGATTCTGTTTTTGCTGGAAGTAATAAAGTTCCTGTTGCATCTGACTCCACCGTGGTTAGTGGAGAGAAGCAGGAACTCTAATGCACTTTCATCAACAAAGCAGGTGGACTGTGCTTTATTGATTAAAATGTAAGGTTTGTTGAAAATTGGTATTGTAGTGAAACACTGATGGGTCTGTACCAGTTACTGCTGCTACTGACTGGTGAAGGGGTGGAGGAATGATTGCTCAAATTAGTAGTATTTATTTTTGACTCACCTAAGGCTGTACATTAGTGATTCTACCCAAACCACCTGGTAACTCTAAAGATCTTGAGACAGGGAGAATTGAAGCATTTATAACAAAGCAAATAAACAGCAAAAGAGACTTCTGGCCTATTCTTGTGAAGGAGACAAACTGTAGGTGAAATCTGGAGATTAACATTTAGTCTTCATTGGAATGTTAGCTTGACAAGAGGCCTCTCCAATAGAGGTGCAAAGGGAAGACAGATTTCTGTAGGGTGTCCTCAAAAACTGAATTCTGAGGACCATACATAGTAATAGTGCATTGTTTCCCCCTGCAAGGAGGGAGAATTGCAAGAGACACAACTGAATCATTAGAAATTTTGAGTTCCGTGCTTTTTTGTAAGAAGCAGGGCTTCTGTCATAAAGACCTTAGTTCTTATTAAAGTGGGACTTGTGAGAAAGGGAGGATAAATATGGTTTACACAGGAAGAGCAGTGAGGCTTCAGCAGTAGTCCTAACCAATTCTCTTTTGTTTATTAAAGGAACATTAGAATAAAGGGTATCCTGCAGCCAGGCACCTTGCAGTGCACTTAGTAATCGTTATTTCTTTCTGTGGTAAAGTAACTTTGCATCACTCACAGCTGTTTTATGTTGAATCTGATAACTGCCGATTAATAGTCTTATCACCTGCAGTCTTCATCTCAGCTTGTTTCTGTTCTTTATTGATCTTATATGAATGTCAAAATATCTATCCTGCCTTTAAGTGCAGTAGGAAACCATTGGGTTGGGTGAAGTTTAAGGTAATTTGAGTGGTAAAGAAGAAGTAACGTTTCTTGTTTACTTGTCTCAGTTAGCCAAGGTCTTGGAGTTAACTCTTTATGCTGCCTTTCAGGTGGTAGATTTTGCGACTGCCCATAAGAGCTGAGGGCTCTGGTTTATCAAAAGCCATAAAAACATTGAGACTGCTCACAGTATTTAGTGTTTTCTTCATATTTGTGTTTGAGGATTCTCTCTTGAAATACCACTGGGTTTTTTTTTCCTAATGAAGCAAGAATAATTAACACTTTTTGCCTAGTAGTAGATAACATCTTGAGCTTCTGAAGGTTAGAGCAATGGGTAAAAAAAGTAAAGCTTGTCTTAATCATTAAAATAGCTTTTCTTTGTTTATGTTAAAGCTACTTAAAAGTATTAGGAACAGTAGGGCATGTGCCTTTGCTTAACTGATCCAGTAGTTTCAGTTTGACTGTTCCTACAGAGATCTTCAATACCCATTGTGGTAGCACAGCTTTCAGTATTTATACCTTAATTGCATTTGCTGGCCTTGAGTTCTTAGAATTCTCTTCATCGTGACAAAACTCTGACAAGGAAAATTGAGGTGAGCACAGTTTTATTGAGGTAGAGTGGCTGAAAAGACCAATATTGTGCTGCAACCTAGGATTTTAAAGTAATCTCTGAATGCCTGTTAATAATGACATCGAGAATTTAAGCAGTTGTGCTCAGGTATTGGGAGATGGTGCAAAGAATCCTTTTTACTAGATTGTTAGATCCTCAAATGCGGAGAGAAAGCAAAGAGTAGTTAAAGGGCAAATGGGGAACTTGGAGCTAGGCTTAAAACAGAATATGTTCCTGAGACATTTCCCTGTGTCCCAGGGCATTGAAGAACATTACCTATATTTTTATTTCAACAAGTGTTGTTTAAATAAAAATATAGTTTGCTGTTGAAATGAAACCAGCAAACAATCCTGAAATGTAAAACAGATAGAGGGGAGAAGGGGTGGATCAGGTGTATGTACAATTCTGTTTACAGTGTGTATTCCGGGAGGGAATTAATTTACTATGGTAAGATTTAATTAGTGGACTCTTGGCCTCTCTTGTGTCAGTGCAAGATTCAGTAAGAGGAAGGGTCTTTTAAAAGAATGAATAATTAAACCCCTAAGTTTTTGTAGAGTATCTGTTCACATAAACTTCTGTTTCCCAGCTTAGAACAAGTCAAGAAGACAGTATCATGTTTGGTGGAATCTTTAAATCTTATTTTTTAGAAAGATGAGTGTAATTTCAACTTCAGATAATATTAATTTGAAAACTATTCTTTTAGTAGGAAGATAGATTATTAATAACTTAACTGACTTGTCTTTATCATAGTTTGACTTAGTCTACCAATCACTGTCATAACTGTATCTGCTAAATCTTCACAAGAGTTTTTGATCCTTTCAGTCTTGCTATTAATGGGAAATGAAGGCTCTGGGGAAATGAAGTTATTTAGCTCACAGCTAATTGTACTGATTGCAGAAGGGTATTAAAATCCATTGAAGTAAAATATACACTTTGCTTTAAGATTTTGATTTTTATGTTTTTAATGCCAAAACTCACACTGGGACAAGATGTGAGTCCTATAATTCCATTGTTCATGTTTCTGTCTATATGTCTGGCTACAGAAAAAAGAGTATCTAAATGTCTGCTGATTGAAAAAGGGAAGCTGGTTGACAGGCTGCTTGAGACTTGCCCAAGTTTAGAGAGGTGAGAAGACTAAAAGGAGCATGTGTGGCTGCAACAGGAGTACGTAGACAAGGAGATCTGAAGAGAGATGCTTTTGAAATATTGCTAAACTTCTGCATTAGGCAAGTGACTCTTACCTTGAGGTCTGTACTATGAATTTACCTGTATTTTATTCTTTGGAACTACTTATGTACTTGTAGCAGACCTAGAAGTCTGTAACAAACCCATGGCACTTCTTTATACAAGGCTTTAATTTAATCTTTCTTTAATCTTACTGATACTGTTCCATATACCAACCATTTTATGCTTGAGTACTATCAGCTGATGCCAGTTTTCCCTGGTTCTTGGGCTGCTAGCATTGCATGAGCATGCCCACATTCAGAGCTTTGTTCAAGTTTCTGAATAATAAATTTAAGCTATTCTTTTGCACAGCTTCAAACCTCTTCCTTCTGTGGAACTAAACTGTATGTGAGCTAGTAAGATTGTTCTGATTGATTCATTGATCTTGGTGAAATCTGCCAGTGAGGTAAACACAAAGGAAATAGTTTCTTATAAATCTGATCTGTTTGCAATGAACAGTTTCCAAAAGAGGTGTAAACTGGTTTTAAGTAGCCCCTTCCAGGTTTTTTATCCATGCAGATGTGGCCATGTGTTGCGATTGGCAAACATTTGTGGCCTGTAATGACAGGTAGTAATTGCCTGTGTTCAGAGGTAAGGAGAAACCTTTATTTCTTTTTTTTTTTCTTTATGTCTTGTGACTGGCTCTTCTGCAAATGGATTTGAAGCAGGTTTGGGATCATAAATCTGTCTCCTGGATTCTGTAGCCATACCGAGCACAGCCTTTAAGTAGCTGGTTAATCTCTCCTTGAAATGCATGCACCTGTATAACCAGTTTAACTAGTATCCTGGGTTCAGCTGTAGCAGTCATTTTTCTCCTTCTTAGTAGCAGGTGCAGTGCTGTGTTTTTGACTTTCAGCCTGAGAACAGTGCTGATAACACCGATGTTTTTAGTTGTTGCTCAGTAATGTTTACTCTGACCAAGGGCTTTCTCAGTCTCATGCTCTGCCAGGGAGGAGGGGAAGCCAGGAGGAAGCAGAGACAGGACACCTGACCCAAACTAGCCAGAGAGGTATTCCATACCACAGCATGTCATGCCCATTATATAAACTGGGGGCAGTTACCCAGAGGGGCTAGATCACTGCTGGGGTCAGGCTGGGTATCAGTCAGCGAGTGGTGAGCGGTTGTATTCTCTTCCCTTGTTATTTCCTTTATCATTATTATTATTGGTTGTAGCAACAGTGATTTGTGTTATACCTTAGTTACTAAACTGTTCTTATCTCAACCCGTGGGAGTTACATTCTTTCCATTCTCCTCCCCATCCCTCCGGGAGCAGAGCAAGAAAGAAGGGGAGAGTAAGCGAGTGGCTGTGTGGTTCTGAGTTACTGGCTGGGCTTAAACCACAACTAGTAACATACGTGTGATGTCAGTGGCACCCCTGGATTTTATCTACAGTTTTTAATGCTACTTTGAGTTTCTAAAGTTCCCTGAATCTCACAATAGTCACAAAAATGTAAGACTCAAGTAAGACACAGATTATTTGTGTTGTCAAAGGGTATCTTTACAGGGTTTTTAGTGTTGGAAGTGAAATGCTTTAAATGCAAGAAGGCAGTTGCACTACCTTTCAGTTACTGGGACCTGCACAAGGATAGTGTCTAGGCTATTAAATGAGTAAAATCTGAGATACTGATTATTTTTTTCCTCAAATACTGTTATTGGTATTTTTATTATTAAAAAAAAAAATGAAAAGGGGGGAACAAATTTCTGCCAAACAGCACAGGTTAGTTAAACACTGGTGCCAGTTCTGTGACATACCATCAAGCTTCCATTCATGGTGTAATAACTTAATGTCATAATAATCAGCTGTAGCATAGTCTGGGGATTGCAGTGGGAAAGTATGAAATCAGGGGTGTGTACTGTTTTAGCTGACTCCCAAACAAAGCTTCTGTACTGACTTACAGAAGTGAGAGTTCATGCCCATATCTAGGTTGGTGCAATCCTTTTGCTCAGCTTTTCTGTGTTTTTTTTTTTTTGTTGTTGTTGTTACATTCACGTTGTGTTACTCCAGAGTTTAGGGGTGGGCTTTTTTTTGGAAGAAAATGGTTAATATCCATGTGGCTGTGATGATCTCAGTGATTCCTGCTAAAATATAAAGGGGGAGCAGGCTGTTCAGCCTGGACAAGAGAAGCAGTGTGGAGATCTCATAGCAGCTTCCAGTATCTGAAGGGGGCCTACAATGATGCTGGGGAGGGACTCTTCATCAGGGACTGTAGTGATAGGACAAGGGGTAATGGGTTCAAACTGAAACAGGGAAAGTTCAGGTTGGATATAAGGAAGAAGTTCTCTATTGTGAGAGCAGTGAGGCACTGGAATGGGTTGCCCAGGGAGGTTGTGAATGCTCCATCCCTGGCATTGTTCAGGGCCAGGTTGGACAGAGCCTTGGGTGACGTGGTTTAGTGTGAGGTGTCCCTGCCCATGGCAGGTGTTGTAACTGGATGAGCTTTGAGGTCCCTTCCAACCCAAGCCATTCTGTGATTAAGTTACTCAGTGGGATTTAGACAGAGGCAGCAAGGAGAATGGGGTAGAGGAGGGTTATTAAATGTTGCACAAGAAACAGGGCATCTAAACTGATTGTTAGCAGAGAGCTAAGTTTAAAATGTTTGGGAAGCTTCCATGCAGCAGCACAGAAGGAGTAGTAAACAGACCAACAACAGCTGAAAGAGGAGGGATTCCTTGGTGGAATAACTGCAGCTGGTTTGAGAGGAGCCTGGGACAGCTCCTGGTGCCAGGCTTTTGTGCATCCTCTGTAAGCTGGATATTCTGTTACTGCTTTTATTGCCTCAGGTATCAGCTGAAAACCTCGGGGAAGCTTAAATTAAGGCTCCGCGTCTTTGCTGAATTTATTTGATGTGCTTGTATCTTGAGACTCATTCTTGGTCCTTATCCCTCCCCACATCCCGTCAGTGGGGACTGGAGCACAGGCGGAGGCTCGTTTACGTCACCGCACGGTGATGACGTCGCCGAGGCGCAGCCTGACGTCACGGCTACGTCACGCGGAGGCGGGGAGAGCCCCGCGCGGGGCGTTGCTAGGTTACCGGACGCCGGGAGGGGGCGCGGCGCTGCCGCTGCACTGCGACAAGGCGGGGCCGCCGCCGCACCACGGCGCTGGCGCCCGCATTACCCTCCCTGCCCTTCCGGCCTTCCCATTGGCTCTGCCCGGCGGGATGGGGCGGGGTCTCGGCACTCTCCCGGCGCTGATTGGCGGCTGCCGCTCCCCTCACAGCGCTCCCCGGGAGGGTGGTGCTGGGCGGTGGCGGCGTGTGTGTGAGGGAGCGCCCGGCTGCCGCGCTCCGGGCACGGCAGGGAGGGACGGGGCGGCCCGGCCCCGGGGGTTCCGCCGCGCTGAGGACACCCAGGCGGGCTCCGCCGGGGTCCCTCAGCGGGAGCGGCCGCGCTTCGCTCCGCCGGGCGCCTGGCGTGGCGCTTGTCCCGTCCCGCTGCCTGCGCCGGCGGCCGTCACGCCGTGAGGAGGAGCCGCTGCCAGCCCCGCCGCTGTGCCCCTCGCCTGGGAGCCCGCCAGGTAACCCTGCCCGGGGGCAGCGGGAGAGCTTCCTGCAGCCGCGGAGCGCTGTGCTGGGTGTCCCCTCCTCTTCTTGTCCCCTCAGTGCCCCTGACCGGGGCCGGTGCCCGGCAGCTGCTGGGGGCTCTCTCGGGGCGGCTGGTGGGGTCCCTATGGCTGAGGGGGGCTCCCGCCGGGACGGTGCTGCATGAGGGGGCTGCCTGCACTTGTAGGATCTTCCCCCCAAACTGGGCTGATTGTTCAAGTTGTTTTGCTTAAATACCTCATTTTAACGTTTATTTTGTCTCGTATGTGGGGAAACTACAAAGTTGGTGCTGTTCCTCTCCCCCACCTCATTCTGCACCATCACTTCCTCGCATTTAAGGGTTCTGCATGAAACCTCGTGCCCATCCCACCATCTTCACCTTCCTGCAGGTTATGCACCTGCAAGGGGATGGCAATTCCTCATTTTCAGGCTGTTTCTTCTCTTTAAATGAGGAAATGAATCAGTGTTATGTGAGGTAGCATGTTTCCATAATGTAAACCAACTTCCTGCATGATGAATTAACACTTCGTTTAAATCACGTCAGTTTCATGAGATGTTAAGGGGTTGAGAATATTTTACACTACTGTAATTTAGGATTTTAGGTCTTAATAAAAATTCCTATTGTCATGTATCTCTGTATTGTGCCTCTGAAAGGAGTTATTCAGAATTAAATAACTTTTTTCAGTCCGGTTTCCATTGCCGAGGAAAGGGTTAACCCGAGCTTTACTTACAGTAACAAACTGGAGGGGATCTCTACAAGTTGCCTTCTCTCTCTTAACAATATGATTTATTAAAGGCTTTACATTGCTCTTCTGATGGGGTGCACCATTCTTGCATGGGACTGAATCCTCTGTGTGTCTTTATAGTTCTGACAGGGTTTCCTAAAGGACAAAAAGGCAAATGTTAAATATCATGTGAAAAGCCACAAAGAGGAGTGGCCTTCATTCATCTTTGCAGCAATAAGCATACATAGAACTGTATTTTAGTGCACAGAATAAGCAAATAATATTTGAGACAAAGGTTTCACCTCTGAATGTGTCATTACATTTTAGAGTACCTGTCATCCCTTCATGGTTGGGTTGCTTCATGCTCCACAGTGCTGATGTGTTTGTGACAACTCACAACAAAAGATCTCCCTTGAAATTATAGCTGCTTTTCTTTTT